GAATATGAAGTTCTTCTCGGTGGAAACAGTAGTGGACTCTGCATAAACCAGAAAAACGTCAACAGTGGTATTGTAGGCCAAGCACTACATGATTCAAATGCTCACGTGAGTCACGAGCATTTTAAACTGAAAGATTTTGAGAGAGGCTTTGATAATGTTGACAGTAAGTTCCAAATAAACTGCAACTCAAACGATAAAGACAAAGACCACGTTTCAGTGGACGACATCCACTCAGAAAATGTATCAATGTATGACAATGAGTCGAGTGACGTTTCCATGTATGAAAGCGAGTCTGATTATGGGTCGGATTACGAAACTGAATCAGAACGTGAACGGGAGCAAGTCGGGAATAATGACCCTGAGCAAGTGCAACAATACGAGCAACATAATTTTCCCAACGGAAACGACGACATGGCAGAATACCCCGCCCTAATGGTTCCCTTAGTACATGCCATTCCTCAGCTAGTACAGGCGCACGCCTGGCCAAATGCGCCAGTCAATGCACAGGGAAACCAACCAGGACCTCAAAACGATACTATTGCCGGGCAACTCGTAGATGAGGCACTAAATGTCGAATACAACCCACAGGCACTCCAACTCAATCCTGTACCACAGGACGAAGCTGCAGAGCAAGGGGTTGGCCAGCAACTTCCTCATGCTCCAGGCTATAATCTAGCTCTATTTGGCCCCCATGATGACCTTGTAAATGAAGAACCACAGGATGAAGCTCCCATGGGAGCCAATCTCTTATATCATCCACTTCCTCCCGTAGAAGATGAGATAGAAGCAGCGAATGGAGATGGTGAGGTTCCAGGTGCTGTAGTAGGCAACGAGGTTGCCTTGCTGGCAAATAATGATGTAGGTATCGATGAAGCACCACCCTTCGGGGAGGTAGTACCAGCACCACAGGCGCCTCCACAACAGCCACAAGGGCAGAATCTTCCTAATGGTCAAAATCCTCAACAAGGCTATTATCCTCAACATGGCAACCAGCCTCAACAGCAACCTAATACCTCTGGGCCGTTCAGAAGATTAGCTGCTGCAGTAAGGTATGTAAAGCGCAAACTAAGGAGGACTCACAATGCACTTCCAATGTATGTCCTTGGGGCCCCAAGAGAAGAGCGACTGCCCGCTGGTTTAGAAGAGGCTCCTCCTCTTATCGGTGTGCCCCACCCTGAAATTGATGAAGAGACACAACCGACAAGCTTCTGTGCTTGTTTCGCCTTCCTTTTCCGACACCATGAGCATCCTGCACAAGGTTATCCATCACAGAATGAGCAAAGGGAAGAATTTGAGGAGCAGATAGCGTTGATTGGGCTGGATAATCAGGGCATGGAACAGGAGAATGACGAGCATGACATTGCGGCCGTCGAACAGCCGGTGGGAGTTCCTGACGAACAAATAGAGGCGGTTGCGCCTCCAGTAGAAGTAATCTAAAATCTTCTTCTGGTTACCGTAAGGAAGCTGTATAACAAGTAGGGAAAGCGAGCAAAAGCAGATGGACTCTTAGGTACAAAAGAGAAACTTGCTCTCTGTAAATATGTTTTTTTTTAATTTCCGTAGTGTTTGTATGCGATGCGTGCAATGATAACTGAATAAAATAATAAATAAAGATAAATTATGGGCACACAATCATTTTTTCTTTCATACAGAAATTTGGGAAAAGGGGAGATGAGGGTTACCACCAACATCATTAATTTAACCCATTAACTCCCAAGATCTCATGAGTAATTCTCCTTACTGTCTGCCAAATGATTCTTATTATGTTAGTTTGGAGAATTTGGTATCAGATCAATTACTAATTCCATAATTGATATTTTTCTTTATTCTCATCACTTGTCTTCATGATATTGTATAGACATAGTAAGGAGAAATTCTGTCTTGATCACTCACGGGAGTACAAGGGTAAATCAGAGCACTCTGAAATTGTTCCAAACCTAATGTTCAATCCGTTTACTTCCTTATTTCCACCTTCCCGTTAACAAGACGAAGCTTCCTGAACCGGAAGATGGCAATATTTAACAGAAGGTTTGTATTGGACTGAACAAATCGCTATTTCAAACAATTTCAAAGCAAATTCCACATATTTTATCGATATGAAGTCGCAAAAGATACCAAAGGTAATCGTGAACTTAATCAAAACACTTCTTACCTATTTTCCACGCTATTGTCGATGGTAGCAAGTTTGGCTCCAAATTGTCCCTGGCAGTAATAATATGCGTTCAGCCAAGTCTTCGGTTTAGAGAAATATCGGTAGCACTTGCCATTGGAATAATGCCAATCTTTCAGACACATGGCTGGAAAGAAACCAGAAAATTGTCTTAGATGGAGAAAAGACGAAAACAGTGATATCTCAAAAACAAACAAACAAACAGAAAAACAAACAAAATGAACCCAAAAACAAGACATGACAGGATAACGAATGCTACATGAGTAAGCTGGAAAGGATGCTCAGCGTAATTATAATTTTCAATAAAGAAAGGAGTGAAAAGAAGAGAAGTGAGCAAAATCAAACGGAATTGTATGTATGTATGTATTGGCGCTATTTAGACAGGCTGGCTCAGTTCAGCTTTAAAGCTAGTTTAAATGAGGGCCATATCAAGGCCAGACCACAACACCGGGAACTTCGTTCACAACTCTTTGCGAATCAACCTTTCCCTTTTTCCCTTTCCCCTTCCCATTTCTCCGTGTCCATTCTCTTCACTCCCATTCTCCTCCTCATTTTATCCACTTCTTTAAACTGACTACCGAATCTTTCCTTCAAATACATATCTCCTGACTCAGACTTGAGAGGGGCCTGGAACGGTACAAGGGAAAAACAGGAACCGGAAGATATACTAAGGGGTGTCGGTGGCAATGATGCAGCCCCTTCAGAAATAATTAAATAAACTTTACAGCAACTTAGAAGAGAATGACAAATATCGGATGGAAAAGGTGAGGAAATCTAAATTCTTATTCTGCGGTTTTTTTTCGTGAGAATCAAAGGAGCAGAATTTGCACTTACGTTTACAAGCTTTTTCACAGCCGCTGAGTTCAGTCTTTTTCTCATTTACATCGCAACCTGTAGTAATAAGAAATCGAAAAACGGCAATCAAAGCACTTCATGGGAAGGATAGACGGAATTATTTACAATGCATCTAAAATGCAACGCAAGTTTGAGAAAGAGCTCTCATGGCATTTTAGCGAAAAGAGAAGTTGACGCCTATTGGCGACCAAAGAGTTCGAGTAGATTTAAATGTTTCTTTACCTTTTACTACAATCCAGTGCCGAGTTATTTCTGATCCACCCTCAGTTTGTATCGTGGATGAATAAAGGGCCGTATCTGATTCCTCCAGTTGATTAATTTTAAGTGTTTTGCCCCTATCTGAGATAACAAAGCGGTCGCTACTTGGCAAGGGTTTTGACTCGCGCGTCCATGTAAGTGTACCGTTCACTCTGAAGTAGTGTTCACCTTTGAATGTGACACATTCTCCTCTCTTTCTTACTTCAAGCTTTTTTTCGATCAATATCACTTTCTCAGCTGCGAAGAGAGACACGAAGTTTTCGTCTAATGTGCGTATTAAATTTTTGTAGTATTCGTGGACTTAAGTGTCTAAAGCTTGTGGAACAGAACCACGCTCCCTCTTATCTCTACCGCCATATTTGACCCAAAGCAAACTTCTAGAACTTCATGACGTAAGATGTAAGCAAAGTAAGTAATTTTTCAATCCGGTCAACGATAGCTTGCAGAGGTAAGGTAGACAACTTTAGACGCTGATAGTCGTAGAAATATCACCGATGCTCTTACGAAACACCATGGATATCATTTAGTCAAATTGATATTTGTGATCTTAGATAATATCATCGTCGGTGGAGAAATTTATTTCACATACTTATAGCAATATAATTTCTAGAATGACAATTTAATGTTGGGTTACGATTTCTCCTTAAAGTAATTTAAACATCATATGATGTTCTAATGATTGTGTAAATGCACAAGAAACCTTATCGAAGACAATCGTACGAGCTAATGGCATTAGTCTTTATTTCTGTAGACAATTAAAATTCTGTAGACAATTAAATATAGGCCGATAAAGTTCTTAATTTCGCCATAAGGCTTCGATACGAAAAATATCACGCTCTTACCTTGAATAATAGCCGCAACGTCTAACAGTGCCAGCAACAGGAAAAACTTCATCGTCATACGCCGGGCCGCCAAACTTCCAACTCACTACGACTGATTTGATTTAGAGTTGAAAATGCCTCTCTTTTGAACAGAACACAACAACGTTGAGTTTAGCTGCTTCCGTTCCTTTGGCTCTTATGGCAAAAGTATTGTTCGAAAGTTGTTCATGTTGTTATTGAGACCGTGAAAATACTCAAAAGCGAGAGTTTCGAAGCGCTTTTCATATGTTGTTTCATGATGGAGAGGCTAGCAACTTGGGAATGTCAAAGACAACTGCGTTATTTTTACGTCAGTAACATGAGAATATTTGCTCTTACAGCAATGGATTACTCCTTATCAATTAATAACTTAATCAATTACATATTAATTACGACTACTTTACATTGCCGTTCTTAGTCACGAAAAGAAGTATTGTCACGTTCGACCGTCAGAGTGCGTTTAATCAAATCATGTCGATCCCTTGAACTCACAACCCATTAAGAAGTGGTATTGGGAGACATTTTCTTGTTCAATTATTTTACTAATGCTAGTTAATCGACCCAAATACCATTTTTGGCCGTGAAATAAATATTAATTATCTGGCTCTGTGTTCTGTCATTCTCCGCTCAGATTCCGGGGCCAGCGAGGCAAACCCCGAAAAAATACTTTCCTGGAAACAATGTCCCATTTCAAACATGAAAATTAAAAATAAGGTAAACTAAAGAAACGAAAAAAAAAGTGATTCGCTAAGCATCGTTCGTAAAATCCGACAACATATCATTTCCCGTGGTGACGAAGACGAACCGAAGAATTGCCGACAGACAGTGGACGAATGAAGCGAGGTTACAAAGCTTATGCCGAGTATTCAATGTTTTCAGCTGGTTGTTTGCTTCAGTTTCAACAACAATACGTGAAATTATTCTGGAGATTTACGGAAGACGGGAAATACATAGAGTGGGATGAATATCATTTAAGGTATGTTCTCAGGACAAAATATTTTGTTTATGACACATTCCGCAATCTAATTGATCGGTTATGGTCGATCGCATTGTTAGCCGACATACTTTGGGGATTGCAAAATACTATTTCTTGTTTCCTAGTACGTTTTCCTCGCCGTTGGCGCGAAGGACCTTCGATATATTTATTTCAAGTTGAATTTGTAACTATGTTACAATCAAGGAGTCTTGAAAGTGTCATTGATTTTCGTAAAAGCGCTCTAGAAGCTCTGAGAGATGTTCAGTTCTTTTCAGAGATGTTCAGTTCATTTCAGATATCAAAAATTTCGTTTTCTCGCCCAAAATCGTTCTTAGTGAATTTCATTTAATAATCTATAATGAACATTTATTCAACGTTTACTCCACACATTTATAGAAATTGCGATTCATGATTCAAAAATAGCTTATTCTTGTGGTGAAATACAACCCGAACTATGGCTCTAATCGATCAATAACAAAACAATTATTAACGCAATTATACACCAGTATTCAGTGGAAGAGACGTTTTGTTGTTTGAGAACAAGAATATCAAAATAAGTTTGCAGTCAATGAAGAACGTTTGGGCCTAATTTTGCACAAGATCACCTTTATGTACTTGGTAGTGTGAGGTCTTACAACCTCGTGATACGGAAGTACAACTCTTGCAATTTATAGTTTGTTTTTGGGAAGGAGCTTTCGTCTTTTGACAGAGTCTTGTGAAAATTTGTGTAGGGGATTTACATATTTACTGTATTAATTACTCATCTTTTCTTTTACAGACTTTTACATCGGTCAGCTGATACCTTACATCATGAAATACTATAGACATATCTATTTGTGAAAGGAGAGACGTCCTGATAATTTGAATTATGGAAGGAGATATAGAGTATTTTGACTTGCCCTTAAGACACCATAATATCTGTTTACAGTGGATCTGATCAAGAATGAAACAAAAATTGATACAAAAACCTTGATTTATTGATTGCAATGGGGGGAAGCACTTCCACTTTAGAGCAGAGTTCATCGGAACCAACCCTTGTGCGTGTGCCTCGATACACCCTGGAGGAGAAGAGGAAAAAACAATCAAAATTCAACACCCTTAAGAAAAAGCTCTCAAGGAGTAAAAGTGGTTTCAAGAGCCATGATCATGGAAAAATGCTACGAGAGTTGACACAAACATGGACAGTTCAGGAGATCAATGCTTTAGTTGAAGAATATGAAGCAATGATGAATGTAAAAGAACTAAAAAATCAGACCAATCTTGTAAGGCAATCTGCGCCAAGTTTGAAGAAAGACCTTTTACGGCTTCTGGAAGAAGGGATTTGTGCTGACACAACACTTATATTTGAGAACACTCAATTCCATGTCCACAAGGCTATTCTTACGTGTAGATGTCCTTATTTCAAGGATCTTTTATCACAGCATACAGAGCAGCATCCTGTTATTCAAATGGAGTTTAAAACGGAAGGAATGACTACAGAAATTTTTTCGGCTCTGCTATGTTACTTGTACACAGGAGATTTTATGACAAAAAAATCAGGCTTAGAATACATTGATGTTCTAATAAATTTGGGTGAAGAGTTTGGCACACCCAATGTTTTGGAACAGGATTTAAACTTGCTTTTCAAATGTGGTGAATATGCTGATGTCGCCTTTGTTTTTCCTGCTCAAGACTCTTCGGACACATACGTGGCTGCAGATGGCAATGCAATTTCTGATCAGACATATGAGATTTTGTGCCATAAAGCTGTTCTTTGTGCAAGATCACACTACTTTAGATCACTTTTGCTCAAATCTGACTTGGGGTCTAATGATTATCTAAAGACAGGCTCTGGATTGAAAAGACTTGTTTTAGATGAATCAGTGATAACTAGGCAGTACACTCGCATAGCTTTACAATGCATGTACACCGACTCTGTGGATCTGTCGTCTGTAGTTAAGTGGAGCTCTGAGGACAGGAAATATTGTTCACCCAGAACTCATAAACTTTTGACATCAGCAGAAATTGCCATGGAAGTATTTGAAGTGGCAAGCTTTATCGACTTACCAGTACTGATCCAAGGTAAATAAATTTATTTATTCATTATAAAGCCTAGATCACACAGATGACTTAACAGCACAACAGGATATTGTTATGTCTGTTTTGTTGTGTTACTTAAATAGGATTTCACTGCTAACATAATGATGTGATGATCTTCCTTATTTTTACTTGGTTATGCCCTTATGTCACTTGTATGACCTATGCTTATGTTGTATTGCGTTACTATTACAGAAATATATATTGGGTGTTTAAAATTACGTAAGGTTAAAATGGTGTCAGTTTTGTTTATTTTTAGTTTTCTTTGTTCTTTAAAAGACCTTACTAATGTACCTGGAATGAAGGATATAGCAAATCAATCTAGTTTGAAATCATTTGACCTGAGAAAAATTGCTTTGAAATACAAGATGTACAAGTTCACACCATGAACCTGACAACATTGTGATGTTCTTATGTTTATATGCTGAAAAAAATTTGTATTTCACTTGCCTTCAGCTTGTTAGTTACAATCTTTTTTGTGTTCTTCTAACAACTCATGGGGCTTATTACACACTTATGAAGACCAACTTAAGGATAAAAACCATAAATCATTCTTTTTTACTAGCTTATCAGTTTATTCAAATTACCTCTCTTGGTTTTTTTGCAATGTCTGTTTTATCAGGCTGTGAAGACATCATCTTGGAGGAATTATCTCCGTCCACTCTTCTGCCAACGCTGGAATGGAGTTCCCTCCCTCATGGATCTGACTGGGTCTACAGGCAAGCCATGCACTTCCTACAGGAAGAATTTGTCAACATCGCTCAATCTGACATGTTTACTCTGATGCCAAGGAAGTATTTGATAGAGGCACTGAAATCTGATTTCTTGCAGGTGTGTGTATGTAATCTTTTGCCAGTGAATTCTGGTCTTAGCCCTTTTACACCTCAGCAACTGTGTAATACAAACACTTCATACTGCTCTCCACATATTTTCTTTGGTACTGACTAAGAGAATGTTTTTGACAATCCACAGCTTCTTTAGGTGCTACTGTTTTTTTCATTCTCACCACCTTAAAGTTCAATTTAGCAGTGAAACTGTGAGGAGAAATTGAACATTTCCTACTGTTAGGAGTTAAAGGGTTTACAATATGCAAAAAAAAATTGCATGCATCTGACTGACTGAAAATGTGCATTTTCATGTAACATGAGTGCAAAGCTGTAACACATACTGTGAAAAGTCAGGCTAGGTTAGTTTCTCCTGAATCTTTTTTTGGGCTACAGGGAGCTGTTGAATTTTAATTTAAAAAATCTGTTAATAGTATTTTATTTTAATAAATTATTTATATAACTTGTTCATAGGTCACATTACTTACCATAGTCAATGTAATAAGTGTCCTCTTTCATTCTTTCTTAGTTGTTACACAGTATTGATCAATTTTTCCTCCTTTAGGCATGTGAACACAATGTTCTACTGTCTGTCATTAAATGGGGTGAGGCACAGGTCATTCGTCAAATGAATGAACAAGGTACTGACATGAATATTATTTCTGAAATAAAAACTGTCATTAAATTATGTTCTCCTTTTCTCAAATCAATAATCAATCCATGAATCAAGGTCTATCATTCAACTGTAATGTAATGGATGGAGGTTAGTGATAACATTTCCTTACTAAGGCTCATCATGGAGCATTCAATATGAATTTTTTAAGGTGCTTTTTTTCTTCACTGTTGTTGTTTTTGTGGAGAATAAGAGAAAAGCTAAAAACTAGTGAAAAATCTCTACTGGAAGGTAAAGGGGTAGCAACTCAACACTGGTTGAATTATGAACATGAAGTAAATAAGTAAGTAACAAAGGAAATAACTATATTTCAACTTGGGTTGATGTGGCCAATTAGGCCCCTAGCAGTACATGCTAATATCCGCAGAAAAGTATAAGAAAATAACGAGGGGAAAAAAATGTTTCAGGATATCAAAAATGATCAGTTAACTTCTTTCACCCTTAAACTCCCAGATAAAATTTGTAATTCTCCTTACTGTCAACCATACAGTCCTTATAATGTTAGTTCAGTGAATTTAGTATTGGATCAACTACTCATCCCCAAATTGATATTTTTCTTTATTCTCACGACTTACTTGGTTGATATTTTATTGATATGGTAAGGAGAAATTCTTTCTTGGTCACTCATGAGAGTTATTGGGTTAATTAAGTAAACAATCCTAACTCTTAAAATTATTACAGTGGAAAAATCTTAGAAGACTGTACAATACAAATGTACATTACAAACACTCTCAGTATAACTGCTATTGTACTATCGATTGTACTTTGCACTGGTATTCAGATTATTCTCTTTTATTTTCTTTCTCAGAATATCAAAAAATAATATGGCGACCATTTTAAAAAGAAGAGTATTAGTACCGATAATTAACACCTCGCGTTGGGGTATAATTGGAAGTAATAATACTATTCTAGGTCAATCAGAACTGTGCAGCTCCTTATTCACTTAAGCATATACATAATTATATTTAAGGAAATGAACGTTATTAAGTCTGTCAAGAGATCTCATCGCCTGCAGAAAACTAGCAGTATGCAGTCGAAACGTCACGATCTGCATCCGAAGTGACCATATCGTGAGACAAACAATTATCCTTCTCTCCTGGAAGTGTTATTTACCACGATGACAAACCCCAACCTGTTTTGCGTCACAAATCTTTTACATTAGTTTCAGAAGTATTCTTTTCTGTTCTTTAAGATCCAGTCCAGGACAACAAAAAGAATGCTAAGCGACGTGACATCGATAACAAACAGTTGAAGAGGGTTCTAGCAGGCGTTATCGAACATGTGCGAATTGGTCACGTGCTTCCCCCGCACAGCGAGCTCCTGGACGGGGTGTTCCGCAGGGGTCTTGTTGACCGGGGCATGCCCCTGGATATTGGCGAAGGAAATTTTTATCCCAATCTGCCTTGGATGAGGAGAAGAGAAGAGAAGGACTTTGTTAGACCAAGGCTCTTCTTGCCTTACTTTGAAGAAGCAAAGGTAAAAATTCTCTGAAGATAATTTGTTGTAATCAGGTGCGTTGATAATGTGGATTGGCCACTCAAAGAGTTTCTAAAGCTGACGTATTGATCGAGCGTTAGCCCTTCGTTAGAGGGAAGTGCTCTTATTTTATACAGTACCAAAATTTCGTTTGAAACTTATCCCCTTCATTCATTTGCAATATATCTTACTTTTAGTACATCCACTGTTGGTCTGAGGTGATCAGAAATCGAAAAATAAAAATGTTGGCATTTTAATTGACATCTTGTTTTGGCAAAAGCGTTAAAAATTTGAATTTGGGATGGCATTGACTTGGAAAAGATAATCTCTAGTCAGAGCTGTCAGTAAAAGCTGCTAGCTGGCAAACAGCGCCGGCTAGTCTTCCATCCTGAGCCAGTTACTGAGATCACTTTCACCTCATTTTACCATTAGTGCTGGTGGAAAATAGTACATTTATTAAAATACCACAGATACCAGCAACCATTTCCCAGTTATGACTTGAACTGAATGCATTATTTACTGGTGACAGGTATAGATGAAGGAATAGATTCTTCGTTTAGACTTTACTTGGAATTGGGTCAGGCGAACTTTTTGAAACGCTAAGGATATTAAATGAAAAGCCCCCATTCTTGCGTATAATCTAACTAAACAACATGGTGTCCAAGATAACTAAGCCGCCTTTTTTTCTTATTTGCCATCTGCTTTCAAACTTATTAACAATCCTGACTAGTCAGCTTAAAAGATCGTCCAGGCCGGTGCTGCACTTTTGGAAATTTTCAGCTAAGGTGGTTGTCGCACAAAGACCTCATTGCGCTCGAATTAAATTTTGCCCTCCTTCCGTTTTGTACGCCGGCTAGAAATTTCAGTTAAGGTGGTTGTTGCCCAAAGATCCCATTGCACTCGAGTTAATTAACTTTCCCCTCCCTCCGTTTTGTAAGCCAGCTAGAAATTTTCAGCCAAGGTGGTTGTGGCACAAAGATCTCATTGCGCTCAAATTAATTGACTTTCACCCTCCTTCCGTTTTGTAAGCCGGCTAAACATTCTAAGACATTCTCACTGTTGCAGGCCATCCTTGAGGAACACAAAGAAGCGGAAAAAGAACTGATCAGAAATCGTATGTCACGTGTACCACACAACATGCCTGACACATTGTATATGGTGGAATCGCACAAACGAACCTACACTGCGCCAGCGATCTTCTTCGCCTCTTCGGCAGCGGGTAGATTGGAACGAGACGAACGACGTCCATCAGTGGGTTTGGGCTCTAATAGGGATGGAAATGAGTTGGAGAGATACATGAGATGTGGAGGAATGAACGAAGGGTCTCCCGGTATGTTGGCTATTTCTGTCATCCTTTGTACCAATCAAATTTCATTCAAAGCTTGGTTTAAGCTCTTACCCACTTACTCGTCCTATTTTTCGGTATTCTGACCTCTAAGCTGAGATCGTGATGACAACAAAGGTTTTGTCTCCGGCTAATAAGTCAGGTCCAGAAGTCCATAACTTCTTTGAATAGATGGGGAGTAAACATACTGAAATTTTTGCACTTCTCTCGAACAACCGAGCCAAATATTTCTTGCGAATTTTTGGAAATATTTCGTAGTTTTTACATCCCAGAACTATATTCCAGGAGAAAGGGGAAGCTTGTTTTTTTTTTGTCTACGTAATTGTGTATCCTTTTGTTTATCTCACTTGGTATCGTTTTTCTTTTCCATTTTAGATGAAAGAGAACCTGCAGTTAGTGGCACGCCAGTTACAGGGAGAGAGTTTGCTCTCCCGGATGTAGCCATGGAGGCGCCTTCATGTATTCCGGATGATTACCTGCACAGAGGAGCGGGCCCTTCTGCCGAGGTGAACAAACTAATCACATCAGATAGGATGTGACAATAACGAGCTTGAATTGATTGGTTATCCATAAAGTATTCTCTTTTTTTCAAACACATCTTGTCATTCTCTTCACAGATATACCCAGTACCAGATGTTGCCCTGCCTTCCTCTCCTACGTCCAGTGTGTCTTCGTCCTCTGGTGGAGTTCCCCCGGAATATTTTCATATGGACCATTTGTTGGAATCTTTAGATGATGACGGAACAAGTGAAAGTAGCTGACACTATGTGGTTAAAACTCAAATTGCCGTCATTTTTAACCAGCAACCAAATTAATATTGTCTCTTACTTTCCAACAAGTGTTCCCAATCCTTGTCAAGATAAATTTAACCAAAGGTGTTATCTTGTGGCACTCGAGTGAATCCTGCTGGACTCCGATTGTTCGTCGAGCTCGGTTCTTAAACTTTGAAAGCCCTTGAAAACAGAATAATATCCTTTATTCAACAATATTGAACGAAGATTGCGGATATTGTATGCAGCGACAGTCGGGAAAAAAAAAGCGTGATTCCATACACCTACTGATTGACGAGATTTGACTCGATTGTCTTGCCCGACAACTGACGCAAATTTAGGGGAAGTGATAACCTTTTGGTTTTAAAATTAATAATTTCATTTCCAGGTCTAAAAATTTGCATGCCATAGACACTGACTGGAATGAATTTTTGTAAGAAGAACAAAACAGAAATATTTCGATGTAAGATTAAAAAAGTGAGTCTTTAGAGAAGCCGCGGAAGTCATAGAATCCTGAGAGATAGAGACAGCACGATCCATATTCAGTGATTCATATGTACCTTCTTATCAAACAAACAGGTAACAAGCAAACTTATCTGGTAGAAGTTGTTATCCTGATCTGACACCAAATCCTCGTAACTTATTTACTAGAAAATGTGTACCAGCTAGTGAGGAGAATTAACCATCAGATCTTGGAAATCAAAATGGTAAGGCTCTGCAGTCCCACAGAAACTTTGATTTCCGTTTAATAAGTCAGGCAGTAGTTAGCTTGCCCGTGAAACCAGGCCACTTTGAGAGGTCTCATTCGCGAGCTGGCGGGACAAGACATCAATGTGTCTGAGAATGTACTTGATCTTTTAAACTTAAAAACAAAGTTATTATCATGTCAATATTTCAGTTTCGTATGAAAACTTTGGATCAATGTTAGTATCTGAGCAACTGTCCACCTACCCCTCCCCTAACCCAGCATCGACACTAAATTGTTAGCAAGTGACTGTCGTTGGGTTAGGGGAGGGGTAGGTGCGAAGTTGCTCAGATACTGACATTGATTCAAAGTTTGACAATGTGGTAAAGAGAGTAAACACAGGTTGAATTGGTAAATTGAACGTGGTCGGGGCTTCTTCGCTTAGCTAATTACACTTCACTTATTTTTATAGTTTTGTATTGTTATTTTTCATATTTGTCGTTGATTACTTTCTGAAGACATTTTAATATTGCTACTAAATCCTACAATATCTTAAAAATTTAGAGGGTATGCATGGATTTTAAAAAAATTGAACGTCATGAAAATTAATAAAAATATGCATATCGAAGAATTTTTTTCTTTTGCTTTTTAGCATTTTAGCGTTGTTCTCTCACGGAATATCTTGTTAGTGTTCCTAATGCATTGTTTTGGTACAGAAGACGAACCCAGTAGATTTCAGTTATTTCAGTTGCCTTCTAGATATTCGTATGCTTCTCAATATCTCGTAATATGTCGGTTGAAACCATAACTGTCCATCGTGGTTACTGACACTTAGAAATGTTTTCTTTGAGTTTGACGCTAACACGTTTGGGAATTGCAGGGGTCTCGACAATGGTAACTTTTTCCATAATGAGCGCTGCTGTTGGTGAGGGAGCGGCTGTGCCGTAAGTCGAAATTCAAACACGAGAGTTTGTTCACACGCAGGATTGTACTCTGAAAGATCAATCCAGTAAATCTGATCGAGATTTGTAAATGAATGCACAGGCTCTCACCAACTTTCAAGAACAAAATTATATCGCGTTCCGAGTAAAAGTAAAGAGGAAAGAAAATAGGAAAAGGGATTGAGACTGAATTCCTAATGCAATTAGAATAGTTTTGACTATTTTACTTCAACCGAAAGCAGTATTTTTGATAATATGGAGTCGTTATAATTTACTCTTGGACGTAATCATTATTGTTTCCCTCGGCTATTTTTTCCTGAGCAGAGTTTGCATTTTCGCCGTCGTTTATGCTTACAGTTTATCGATCCAGAAGAGTTGGCGATTTCCCCATATTGATGTCGACCACAAATTTGATTTCTTCAGGGGCGCAACAACCCCAGCATGACGCCATGTTTGTAGAGTTCAGAGGGCATTGCGCGTTTTTATCGATTTGATATTTTAACTACAGCTACACACCAAGTTAGGGAATTAAGACGTTGAATTCAGTTTAAGCAATGGAGACCAAACCAATAAAGTAATTAGCCGTAGAAGTAAACGCGTTAGTAGTCAGTTCAAATGTCATCAGCATATATAGCTTTGTCTTTTTTGCCTGCCGCACACAATTGGCGTCCCTTTTTTTTAGAGAAAAATACTACCTAAAAAGGCCGGTATGGCGGCGGAAAAAAGATTTCATAAAACTCAACATAGAAAAGAGAATGAAAAAGACTGACATGGACCGCAAAAGACAAACATGAGCATTTTACATCACTGATTTATTTCAGTCACGGACGCAAACGATCGTGGAGAGTAACCCCTTCGCAAGAACGCTATTTTTTTAGACTTTTAATACAAAAAATGGCATGGAAAGAAAAAAAATATACATCTTCGTTCTCTTTTTTTGTAATTCTTATCCTGCGTTTCCAACAAAGTTTTGTAGGAGGGTTGTAGATTAATTGACTGGCTTCGGAATGGAAAATTGTTTTTTTTTTTATTACTATTAGTTTTTTCTTGAGCTAAAAATGGAAAACCTAAAGCAAAACGTATTGGGAAATTAGACGTAACAAGGTATGAAGAAAGGAAAAGACGTGATTCGTAGGAGGAAGTTATTCGTGAAAGGATGTGATTCGTGATCGTGAAGGTTACGTTATGCGAAAAATACAAGACAAACGTGAGATGAATTACACAATTTAGGACACGGTTGATCAAGATTGTCACGTCTCAGTAATAACCGTAATCAAACGACACAGAGGCAATATTCGAGTTTTCTTAAATTACCAACTCTACAAGAGTAACAATATTACAATAGGAAAGTTTCAACAACATCTTAGTTCCACAAGTTTTTACAACCTGGCATAACTCAAATGAAACTTGCTAACAAATATTTCCCTTAGTTTGCGCGAGAGTAAATTCTAACTTTAAAGTTACGTTTACATAGTAACGAATGTTAATGGTAAACATCCAACTACAAACTTTATATTTCCAATATCCAAATATTGTGTTTGGAATGAACTAGAACCAAAATTTGATTATTCGATATGGCACATCTTTGGAGAACTACTTAGCAATATTTTTCAACTTTAAGTGACCTCTGATTTAGTTTCCGTGCCATGCATAGGGAGGTTCTTATTTAGTAATTACCGCGCTGAGTGCACCGTGAGTGAGAATGATCTTCTCACGATCGTGTATCGACAAAGGATTATAAATAAAAAGTATCTTTTGTACATAGGAAGAAATTTAAATAATGGAGACCTCAATCTGCTTGGGAGAAATAGTCACAATAATATTCACGGCCATAAAACAATAAGGAATAATTTAAAGATAATGGCTAATGCCAAACAGTCATTTCCGTTGTCCATTACGAAGATTCTAACCGAATCATAATCATGCGATGCTATCGGAAAAAGTCAGTTGATTTTTATCTGTTCCGGGAAATGATTTTTAACTCAATTATAATAAAACTTTACATTACGAAACATAGTGATTTAGGTTAAATTTGCAGTTAAATTTTCGATGATTCCACGACAGCTTTCGCGAAAACACAGCAGACGTTTTCCTTTAAGATCACGGCAGATAATTCGCTAATGATAGAGTTGTTTAACAACGGATTTCCATTATTGACGATGGCAAGTTTTAAGATGAAGTTTTAAGTACTGAAAGCGTAAAACTGATATATGTTTGAACAAATATTAAAATTAAGAAATTCGGACCACGCGATTATTTTTTTCCTAACGCAGCGAGAATCGCTTTGTTTTCACGCAGAAAGGAAACACTTTTAAACATAGCAGCTGGACAAATAATGACATTTATCAAAATCAGCGAGATAAGCCTTTCGTAATCTGCTTTTTCTATTCTCCGAACCCTCGCTGGACATCAAAAGAAAAGCAAAGATCTTATCTCTAACGATCTTAGGCCAAAAAAGTCTTGAAATATTTGTTTCCATGCCCTTGCAATCTACAGACGGTAAATATCGAGAAAAAACATCGAGCAACTTGAACCTGCTATACTATAAACCATTCTATCCTGCTTCACAGCTATAACGGATATTGGGAATAAATCGCGTTCATCTTCTTGTTACGCTAATTTGTCCTCGATTAGTTCATATTCATCGCTCGTTTCTAATCGACGAAGGAGGTCTTCATTTCCAAAGAATAATCTTTACAGCAGTCCTTGGCCAAAACAAGTTAATGAAATGCAGCAGGCATACTGAAAATTCTTTGCTCTGGGAGACCTCGCTTGGTTTTCTTATAATCATAGCCTTCGCTCTTTGTTCTTGCTCTTTTTTCCGCAATAAGGGAAGCAGGATCCTCCTTCAGGATGTTATATCCGTCTTTTGATTTCTCAACCTTCCGATTCCCTGAGGCATCAGAGTCACCGTTGGTCATGATGGGTGAATATCCCTCATTTGTAAATCTAACAAGGTTATCGCCGTTCTTTGCTCGGTTTTTTTTCGGTGAAGATTGCGAAAAGTCAGTGAAGACTTCGTCAGGATCCATGGTCTTTTTATAGCGTACTAACTCAATGACTTCTGTCGAGCCACTGCCTTTATAACAGTCAACATCAGTGAGTGATCTAAAACGCCGCCCAATAATATTATTTACTGACAAGGAGCTACTTTGCGTTGACTCTTTCGTCGACTCCTCTTCCTTCTTGGATGAATTTTTCGGTTTTTTATTTTCATCTCCCTTAGTACCATGAAAACCGCCCCGTCTGGTAAACACGTTCTGCGCCTCTCGTATTCGCCTGGCCCCGTTCGCCGCCACGTTTTCTCCGTGCGGGCTTTTCTTTCCGCGTTGCGCAGCGTTCACGCTCCACGTGAACATGTCTTTGCAACCGGCTCGAAACTTCCCGTTAAAAAGCGCGTAAATAAAAGGATTGCAGATGCTGTTACACAATCCCAACGAATACGTAATAAGTCGCACATAATCCACATGACTCGTTGTACTTTTCACGGTCCATTCAATCGCACTAATATAAATCAACAACGGCAGCCAGGTGACAAGAAAAACTAGAATAACCGTTAGGAACATTTTCAGTACCTTCTTACGGCTGCGGATGAAAGCCTCCACCGGACGCGAGTCTCCTAGCTGGCCACTCTTCCTTCTCCAAACTGTCCGGTAGATTTTTCCGTATAGGACGATTAAGGTAGCCAAAGGGAACAAATACCCAAACAACCCGAGGAACATCACGTAAATGAGACCAGGCAAAGTAGTAGCAGGAATGGTTGCACAATAGGTGAAGGTCTCGTTTGTGTTGGGATCCAGAGGAGCGTCCTTTAACACAGTCAAATACAAGCTTGGCGACACGACGAGAAGCGCGTAGACCCAAGCGCCGAGAATCAGCTTATTCGCTGTGCCATATGACATGATATTTAATGGATGCACAACAGCTTGGTGGCGATTCCATCCGATTGTGATGAGCAAAGTCATGGACGCTTCAGGCGACAGGTACTGGAAAAACCTGGCGACCTTACAAATGGGCAAACTGTAGCTTTTCATTCCGATGCCTTCTTTAAAGTTGACCACCAAAAACAACGGGATAGCGACAGTGCTCACAATCAAATCGCTGATTGCTAGATGAAGTATGAAGCGGTTCATCACAGAACGCATCTTTTTCGCTCGTAAAATAACTGCGACTACAAGTCCATTACCCAAAAGTCCCACCACAGCAGCGACACCGAGACACGTTAAGATTGCGATCTTGAATCCTTCATCGTGCTTTTGGATACCGGCATGTTCGTGACTTAAGTTTGTCTCACTTCTCAAATCAGCCATCTCTAGGGAACCTTGTCCTTCTTGATACTACGATGGCGCCAGTGTTTTTGGTTTGTTTTGTCTCCCAGGGGTGCACGTGTAGTTATTTAGGGTCTACCTTGCGCGTGATGTGACCGGAGCGAAATGTTTGACCAACCTATGGACTTTGGATGAGTTCACGTAGAGCTTAAAACGTTACCAGATGTAACCTGTACTAATCTTCACAACATAAACACGTCGTAAATCGATCTCAAGTTACAGTCTGTTAATTTAGAACTGTTCCATTTCGTCTACTTTTACGTGACTCGAAAGATAGTCGGCGATTAGAAAAGTAAATCGATTGGTTGACCCACTAAGGTCTTTGTTGACCCACGTTTTCCACGATAATCTGGGAAAACGATAATGACCTCAGCGCTTCTTGCGGCATTTACATTCAAATATCAAATATGTTACGACTTCAAATATGCCAGATTCGATTCACTTCACTGCATAAACCGCACAAAAGATTCAATGAGGTGTTACATGAACAGAGTAGGAGCACGCTTTCAAAGTTTCCTAAAGTTCAACTTTCTAGGTGCTAATATCGAACAAAAAGTGCAATTTTTTCAGCGATGTTGTCTTTTTGTTAAGACGGAGTTTGTTGCACTGACCAAAATAGCTTGCAATTTATTGTTTTACGGCTCGCCTTTAATCGCTCTCTCCCTGATTGGGTAATGTTCCTTTAATGACGTTTTATTGTAAATTTTAAAAAAATTTGCAACTCAAATAATCAACAAAAGACAGAGTTTGGTTTTAGTTATTGTTCATTTATTTTCACAAGATACTTCTTCAAGGGTTTTGACCGAAAAATGATAAAGTTATCCGCATTTACCAGTAGACAGGAGAAGGTAAGATCAAGTAGGGTTCTTTTAAGTATGTAAAATGCTTGAAAAAAACCCAAAAGCGAAATTAATTACCAAAAATATATAATCGCCAAATCAGCAGGTGTTGTACGTAGAACCATTAATTACGCAAACACTATAACGGTTGTCAAAAAGCTTAACTTGATTCGTTTAGCAATACTGACAAAAAAATATTTTTACGAACGTGGCGTTTTTCCTTTTTTTGAGTCCCGCGATCTTTTCAAACATGCAAGACCCCTTCGTCACGAAACAAAGCTTTTCGAGAAAAAAATAAACCTCAAACAAAATCTTTCAAGAGTTGTTTGCAATAAAACGACTAATTTCGCGAAAGGCGTTAAGTTTTCAGTGTTAATATCGAGTTTGGCTCTCACCAACCGACAAAACAATTGAATGATGATTGGGGGAGTTCTCGATGTGCTATCATATTGTGATTCCACACAAACAGGATCCTATAAATGAGCTCCTGACAGAACTTATTGTCAGCTATATTCCTTGATTGCTCTTCTACGAAGAGTTAAACAATTGAATGATCATGGATTGAGGGAGTTGTCGAGGAGGTATCATATCGTGATTCCACACAAACAGGAGCCCATAAATGAGCTCCTGACAGAACTTATTGTTCGCCGCGTGATGTTCCTTGATTGTTCTCAGATGGATAAATTAAATTGTGGACGGATGTTGTGTAAAGGAAGGGTTTTAACATGATGCGTCACGATTATGGACCATAATGACTCATCAGTGAAACGTTAAGTTTCTAGTGCCACATAACATTTTTCTCCGCTTCTCAATGAGCAACGAGTTATGTTAACCATTAGAACCAGGATCCCCGTTTAGGTCTTTAGATTGAGATGGATATTCCATTGAAAAGGGTGACAAAATTAAAAAAAAAAAGACTAAACTGAGTAAATAACTAAAATTGTACAGAAACAGTTTCTTTAAGAAGTATTTTTGTAATAAAAATTTATTTTAAACGATGGCATTACAAAACAATTGCAGTTCCCGATTCTGACCGTGTTTTACATTGAACCTCGGCGGGCGCGTTTGCAAGTTGGCTTGTATTCTCTTTAAAATCTCCCGAGACTGAATTCTCGTGAGTATAGCGCTATTAAGCACAAATATAACAAAATAAACATGGTAATTTGGTGTTAACAACTGAGTTGATTACTCAAATTAGCTACTGTAAAGAGTTTCTAAAGCTGACGTTTCGTGTTAGCCTAGCCCTTCGCTATGACGAAGGCGTCAGTAACGCTCGAAACGTCAAATTTAGAAACTCTTTACAGTGGCCAATTTACACTATCAGCTCAGTGGAGAGAAGTTAGCCAAATTATCTTGTAATATACTCTACCAAAGCAGCACCACAGTTTCTCTAGAAACTTACCCCCTTTATTAAAATAATACAGAAGTGTATATGAGTGTGGTTTACTTCGTTTTGAAACCTATTATAACAAAATCGGCGACTGCGATGGCAGGCCTGATTTCCAAAATTATTTCGGAATTATAAAAAACTAAACTGTTATATGATGTGGGAAAAGGAATACTTTCCAAGAAACATTTAATTTCTGAGAGCAGGCTCTGTTGTGACACGACAAACATGCAACACCAAGAATTATCAGCATAAATAAAACGAAAACGAGAAGAGAAGATTATTAAAGAGTAAAACCAAAGATGATAGCTTTAGAAAACAAGGTTTCTTTTTACTCGGATTCTCAGCTTTTGATGATAAGTAGAAATGTTTGGACAATATTTACAAGTCATATGTTACAGGCCTGGAGCGAATGAGTCCTGAAGAAAATAAAATGAGCCTTCAGCAATTGGATGCTAAGCTAGGTCGTTCTATAGTGAAAGATGTTTATTCATTTGTAAATATAATTTTTGATAAATCTTATTCGCTCTTAGGCTCCTCCTTTGAAGCTAGACCTGCGGGTAAATATAAAATTTTGGACTTCAAGCAGGACAGGAAACTGTCTTATTTAGCTTATGATTTGTTCCAATAGCATTACTGTTTTCAAAAAGTAATCTCAAAAACGTGGAGAAAAATCTGATTTCCTCGTTACATTCAAGCCTCAGACCTTTGATTAGCAATCAGGGCCACGACCACTGAGCGTCACGGCAATAACGGTAAGAACTCAATTACTCTGATAGTCGTATCCCGAGAAAAACGAACTCCTACGTAGCCTAAACTAATGAGATAAAATCATTGATTGCAGCATCACCAATGGTGTCATAGAGGACAGGAAAAAAGCTCTCAGCGGAAAATGATATGCCCAAATGGTGTATTCATACTGATTACAGCACCCAATTAAAAGGTTAAAAGTTTTTACCTTAGAAAAGTAAAATTGATATATCCACGATTGCTGCTTCGCTGTAAAGGATAAAGCAAGAGGAAAAAAACTTTGAGTAGGCCGGTAAAAGAGGAAGTACATTAATATAAAATTTCCGTTTCGTGATTTCGACTCGCCCACCTGCTCTAGCTGATTTGTTCTACGGCTCAATTATATTGTGACATGGAAACAGGTCACGTGCCAATAACTCTTCACGGTTAGAAGTGTTTATTATGAAAAAGGAAGTGTTGTCATAGAAGGTCATCGTGCGTCAGCATTGTTTCTTTGACATTATAATTTTGTGTTTTTAGTGGCGGATCGCAGTAAAGGGTATTCTAGATAAAAAAAGAGATTTTCATTCACGGCCAAGGCATTGAATTCAAGTGAACAAATCCTATTTCATTTGCGATCAAATATCTGTTGCTTCATGAAGTTCGCCGTTGAATCTACAAAGACGAAATCATCTGCTACTTCATCATGCATTCAATCCTCCCACCAAAATTCCAAACGCATTAGAGCAATTAGTACCTTTTGTGATTTTATTTTGACTCAATATCTTGACAATGAGAAAGAAATGTACATTTGAAAGATGATGTTATTTAGTGAATCACTCAAGCATACTTGGATAAAAAGAACTCAGAGTGCTCCCAAAGAGAGTTAAAAGCTACTATGACCTTCCGATAAGATGTTATGAACAGTTTATAGTCTCTAGCTTCTGATAAGTCCTTCAGATGCTCTAGTAATCCGAAGGTCGCAGGTTTGAGTCCAATCGGGAGCATTCGTTGATCTTTTTCTCCGAGTATGCCTGTTATTCACTGAATAACATTATCATCTTTCACTTATCAGCACGCTCAAAATTTACCATCTTGAAAATTACATTTATCCACACAAGTGCGATGAACCTGCTTATAAATGCGGCGAAAGAGACGCAGTTTACAGAGGTTCACAAGATTTGTAACTTCTACACTGGTGTTCTACCTGTATAAGCTAACACTCCAGATCACAGTTTAGCGCTTTAATTACGCGCAGTAATTACTATTTTCTAAGGCGTAGAGGACAATTCACATTGAATGATGTGACCAAAAAGTGCTCTTACACTCGAAAAAACATAAACAAAACAGAACCGAAACAGAGCGCAAACGAACACAAAATATCAGTAAAACCTTCGTTGCGACAAACCATGCTTGAGTTCAGTAATGTAGATAAACCACATCTGTACAAGTTTGTTTTCAAGTCACTGCCAAATCATACACCTTAAATATCTGACATTCCTCTTCTTGGACTCGAATCAATTTGCGCGTCGTTTGAGAGGTGAGAAAAAAGAAAAATCAGAGTAAGTTCTGGATAGGCCCTATTCGGATAATGAACAATCCGCAGAAGCCATTTACTTAGGTTCCAGCCATCCGAGTACTAAAATCCATATTCAATAGTCCTAAACGTGTAGTACAAAACTGAAAAGTATAGACACATTTTACGGTGACTCACCCACTCACCCTGACCAGACAGACTACTCGAGTAAGAGGAATCAGCCACCGTAAAGAGTTTAAAAGCTGCACCAATTTAAGTTATTAACTCAGTTGATAATACTAAATTATCCTGTTATCTGTTATACTCTCCCACCGACGCAGCACCACAGTTTCTTTTTACTCGGGTAAAGGGATAAGGAGGGGGAGGGGGAAGAGACGAATACAACATGGTCAGCGGTTAAATTTTTATAGATAAACTTTGCCAGTGATCCCGCCGCAGTGTCTAGATAAAGCCTTAATTTTAATAAGCTTTGGTTAAATGCCAGAATTTTAACACGGGATTATAAACTATCTCTGGTTAATTATTTTAAAAGCCGGTCACCGGCGGCCAAACGCCGCCCGTAAGACCTCTTATCGGAGTCTATTAGCCCCTTGACTCCTAAAGGGTAAGAGGCTTTACGGTCCCTTTTCTGGACGCAACCGCCTATTACATCGTTAGCTGCAACCGTTTATGGAAAAATTTATTGAAATCGCTGCAGTTATGTGGCATTTAGTCAGTTTTCGCAACCAGTCTTTATTAAAGGTTGATGACGAATATTTTACGATTTAAGTTGTATTACATTTAATCCACCGCATGCGTCATTGACCGAAGGGAATGTCACGTACATAGTCATCGCGCGAAACACAAGGTCACCTTTGATCTTTAGACGAAGTTGGTTCAGCCATGTGTGACGTCGCAATATTGAGACGAATTCAAAATGACAACAATTAACAGGATACAGGTCACGATACTAAGACACGTAGGAACATGAGGACAAAAAAAACATTTCCTTAGAGAAAAAAACATCAAAAAATGGGGACAATGACTCAGCAGTAGCGTAGGAATGTGCCTCGTCAACCGTAACGTTTCCTTGCAAACCCCTCTGTCAATCCAACATGCTCTTCACGTCACGTAACACGCGCATGGGTTGAACAAAATCACGCATAACGTTTCACGCGAACGCTTTATTTCACTTGCTCTATACAAAACTACGAAAGGCTCTCTAGTTTCTCCTAATAACAAATGAACTTAGCGGTAAGTAAAATTTACTGAAACTTTTACTCTTTTTAACGCACACATATCGTGACAAGTGCCCTCTTGCCAGCGCACCTTTTCATTTTGTATTACTTAAGTCACACACAATCACTTGCGGTTGGCCGTCGGGAGACATCCCGAAGAACACCTGTTGGGCTGAAGATTAATTAATTTCCTATTGTTGTATTTTTTTAAAATTTCTTTGAACTCAGTGTGAACTGCAAAAACAACTTACGGAAATTTGACTCCAGGTTATAATAAACTATTCACGACGGGGAATGACCGAAAACGAATTTCTCCTCACAATATGAACTAGTTGTCAAGCGAAGAAGGTGACGAGGAGAGATCAATTTATTGTTTCAAATATTTTTTTATTTAACATTAAGTTCTTAAAACTAAGAAGTAAGAAATGTGTGCAGACAGTGACGGAGAATTGATATCTAGATGACTAACGTGGTGAATGAAGATTGATGAATGAGGGAAATCAACTCAAGCGATTAATTATTCCAAGCGCTAAAACAATAAAGCTTCTAGTCGCCCTGACAACAGATCCCACTAAAGCATAGCGGCAGACTCGCGGGGCAATGATGGTCTGAAAGTTAACTAGGAAAATTACAATTATGAATTTGTTGAGGGAAAGCGACTCAGGCTGAGGAAATATGAGCGAATCCTTCAACAGAAGTTTCGCGACGAGCAGAGGAAAGATCACTTATCATGAAAGGTACGTTTGTTCCGAAGCGGGTTATTGAAGGATCGCTTCAACTTTTAGTGTCCTTGTGGCTTTTTGATTTTGAAGATCTATCGCGATTTCACCGCCACAATCCGCTTGCATTAATATTCAAACGATTACACATATAATATGGATAGAAACAACAATTTATACGATATGAAACCATATTCCCTCATACACTAAATAACCCTCAGGATGAATAACAATACTCATACTATTTGTCTGTGTATTTACATAAACAGACACTCTTTTCGAAATTCAATAACAGATTATTGCGATATAATTTTTACACCTCTTTTAGTTCATAATGATTTCAAAAAGGTAAGGGCAGCTGTTCTTTTAGCCCTCACACGATATAGAAGTTAATTCTAGCATGTGGCTGAATAAAACTTCGATAATTAGTCTTGTTCCACTATCTTCAGCACGCTAGCGCATGATAGAGTTCGAAAGAATATGTTAATACTTTCTTATTTACATAGTTGTGTGGCGTTGATCGACGCAGAAAGAATGGAAATTATTGACTATTTTTAAACGGGTATCTTAGGCAAGACGAGTAGTGTAAGATAGAGTTGTTCTTTGGAAAATTCCTCCGGTTTTGAAAATGTTGCTTTTGTGCTTTCGTGCTTCTGTTCATTTCCGGTCACCGATTTGCGTATTTTCGGAAAGCAGCAAAGTCATAAGGGAACGTTTTCCAAAATATCTTAAATGTAGGGTGAGGAACTCTTTACACATTCAGTTAAACTGTCAGAAAAATTTTCCCAGCTGTCCAACATACGTCAGACAGGTCGACAGAAACAAACAGTGTATAGCACACCTAGCAAACTCAGCATGTCACATTCTGTAGATCAAGCAGATGCAGTGCACCTTCAGGCAAATTGCTTCATGACAAATGTATTGCTAAAGGTTTGGAGGTGAACCCAACTTGCATCCATGTTAAGATGAGTCATTTGGAATTGCTAAATTCAGTAAGCTTAAGATTGAAATTTTGAATCAGGCTGGCATTATGGCAAACAAATAAAGGGGGTATGTTTCAAAAGAAACTGTGCTGCGTTGGTGGTAGAGGATAACAGTCGGAGTGATAACAAAGTGCAAACACTTGAAATGTCAGCTTTTAACCCTTTATGGTGGCCAAATTTGATTATGGCAGCAGCACTACTGAATGCTGAAAAATTAGCAGCTAAAAACTGTGAAGACTGAGAAAGCTTAATTGAAATGTTTCATCTGTTCCAGGGAAAATGGAGACATAATTTAATGAAGGATAATTTAATTTTATAAGGAAGGGGGTGAGGAAGGAGGATCTAAGTACCTTACCTTCCTCCCCCTCCAATTAGGGATGTCACAAGCACAAATTATACATCTCACTGCATCAGGTTCTTATAGTTAACCCTTTACACTCTTACATCAGTATGCATATTTTCCATTCTGTTCTTTGTACATTTCCTAAGGTGCTGACAGGGAGAATTTGTTTACCATCAAATGTTTCTCTCATTGGTGATCATTTCCTTTATTCTCATGACCTTAATGTGTGATTCAGGGGTGATATTATAGGGAAAAATTAGATGCTAGTCACTCATAGGGTTTAAAGGGTGAATCACTGTACCATTACTGGATCAGGGCAAATTTTGAGGGTAAAACATGACATGGTTGATCAGCAATGAATCCTAACCTCCTTTTAAAGGAGGAGAAGGAGTATTGGTTGAGGAAGTCACATTCCTCAACTACATGTACTCTATGCTAACCAAACATGGATAATGACATTTGTTATTACAAGATATTAACCAAAAAACTGCCTAATTGTCCTTCTTTTCTTGTTACAACATGGTATTGATCTGCCAGTGGGTAGAAAGGGGATGAAGTGTCTTTATTCTAAATAGAAGGTTAAACAAGGGGCATGATAGAATTCAACCATGAGGTGTCTAAACAAAATTTTGTTGGCAACTCCCTTCTTCGTTGATAAATTCATTTTTACCAAATGTTTCTAGGGCTTAAAATTACTGATGAAACACTAGAAGATAGATTGGCATTTGATGAGATTTTTGTGGAATACTTCAATGCTTTCTTAGCATTGCCGGTAAGTACGCAGGTTATGTTATATTTAATTTATCATGCCACATACTTTTATTCACAAGGAAGCTTAATAATTCAACAAATATCCTTAGATATACCTACATTTCTTTTTTGGGCAGTTTTTTAGTTTAGCTGTCAAAAACTTCATTGATTATTCTATTAAACATGCTACAGGAACTTCAACAATTAAATTCATCTTTTACTGGGAGTACTCCTGTTTAACAGAGCCTGACTCTCCACTCAGGAGTATAGATGAGTATAGAAAAACTGTTTGAGTAACTTGGCTAACTCTTAGCAATTACCCTGCAATGGAGTCTAAGCATTCTATCCAGGGCCCAGAGTTAAGCAACACTGACTTACTCAGGGGTCTCAAATGGTTTTGAAGTGGGTGTCAGACTCAACAAAAGTAAGTGACTGTAAAGGGTTCATTAAGGGCCAAAAGGTAATGATTTTGAACAGAGTACCCAGCAACATGTTATCAAGTAGCCGTTGGAACTTCAGCAGTGACACCAGCTTGTTTTGATAACCCTGTTACTCCCCTGTAATTGCTTCATGCTTCTGAAAGGGGGATTAAGTTGAAGGAGGATGATAGTCTCCTGAGCTGACTTTACCATTACCTATGCAGTACTCTTTCATACCACAGGTGCCTAACATGCACCCAGGGACTCCCTTTCAGCAATTCACATAATAAAATAAGTCTGGTTTGTTTTTCCCTTTCTAATCCCCTATGGGGCCTTGGATTATTAACTATACATGAATTTGCATGTACATTGTATATTGTGTTGTTGAAAAGTTTATGCAAGTCTTTCTTGAACTACCAGTAATCTTAAGAGTAACCTGTCTCAAGGTATGCATAAGTTATTAAAAGCACAGTTCCAACAAATAAATTTTAGACCTCTTTCTGCAACATTGTATAAGTCAGTTGCATATATAAAAGTTGTGCATTCTTTTTAAAGCCCTTAAATCAAAGAAATCTATACTGAAGATACTTCATAATTATGCAATTAATAAAGAACTATATGAACATTATTTTTTAAAAGATGTATCCAAAACTCTACAATAAATTTTTTTCTCTAAATAACTTTAAGGTACCTTGCACTTTCTTTTTATCAGGCTTTCACCAAGCAACTGCAGTATGATCCACTATCTGGGACTTTTAGGGATTTCACTGGAAAGACTGACAGTGATTTCAAAGATTTAAAACCAAGTCAAGACCCAGAAGCTGACACAAAACAGAGAGAGAAGTCCTTTACATGGGTGAAAACAGAGAGACTGCCATTGTTTGTGAGGTAAGGACTGCATTTTTAACACTTTACGACCTAACAGCAGAGAGAATGTATTTTCTCCATATTGTTGAACTCTATACATTTACTAAGGACTGGTGACAAGGAGAAGCTGTTTAACAATCAAGATCTTCTTTAGATGGTGATCATTTTTTTATGATCGTGATCATATTTTTGTGACCTTAACATGTGATTTAGATGTAATATTGTCAGAAAAAAAGATGCTAGTCAGTCCTTAGCCTGCAGTGCTGGCATCTTAATAGGGTGACCTAACCTTACAAGATCGCAATCAATTTTTGGACCAGCCATATGTTTAATTTGGAGTTAGAGTGGACGGTAGGGGTAGGGGGTGGTGGAAGGGCAAGAAGACAATTTTCACCACCCTACCCCTACCCTTCTCCTTATTTTTGATCACCAAACGCCCCCTGGGTGCAAATTTCTTTCTCTCCCCAGCCTTATGCTGCCATTAAAATGAAGATGGCAGCCATAATTTTCGTTATGAAAATACTGAGCTCTCTCTTGCCAAAATTATTCCTGCTCTGCAGGCTAGTCACCCATTGGGGTTAAAGGGTCAATGAGCAAAGAACAAGTGAATACTTTAATTAATATATGAAGCATATAATAAATCACTTCAACTAAACCTCCTTTTGAAAATTACAAATGGAGTTCTTGCTTGACCCAGTGAATTAAATAATCCTGTGTGAGAATCAAAATTTACTGTGAAACTGTTATAAAACTCTTTCATCTGTCGGTTGTGTTTTGGTAGCCCAGTCGACCAATATACACGTACATGATGCCAAACGTACCATAAAGAATTCTCAGTGTTGCTGTGAGGCTCTGATGTCAAATAACTTATGGGAACTTTGAATTTAAAAAAAACCTGGCAAATTATTAACCTAAGCTACAAGAAAAAATATTTTAACCCAGGAAAAAGTTTGGGGGTACTTCAAAGAGTAGATTTCGTAGGGTGAAGTGTTGAAATCTACCATCTATGGACAGATAAGAGTGTGGAAACTCGAAAACACTGCCGAGATATTATTGTGTCGCTAGAAACTTAAAATGTGTCATCGAAAGCCTTAAAAAGCTAGTAGGTGAAGTTTGTAGTAATGCTTTTTCTTAAATTTGAGGCGGTCCAAAGTTATGCGACATTTTCCAAGTCACTACTTGCATTTATCAGCTATAATGGCTCCTTTACAAATGCGGCGAATGTTTACTTCACTTCCTAGTTTCGTCCCTGAAGAACAGCGATATATGAAAATTTAACGGGACTGTGAGACGTATAATAATATTAAACAGTGTGTGTTTAACTTAACAGGACTGAGTGCTCATACTCGAATCAATCGAAAATTTACGTATTATTTGCCGTTTATAAATTTCTTTCTCGGTGTTCCGTGCTGAAGTAAAAACATGATGGTAGTATTGGAATGATTTTCTCACCTGTGAAAAATAGGTTAAACTAGAAAGTTTATGCAGGAAACTCTCTCGCACTTCGTCGAGTTGTAATTCAAAACAGTTCGAGGGTCGACTGATTGGATTCACGGTGTCTTTATGGCGGGAAATGCGCCAGGTTCTCACATAAATCCGCTACTTTTTCAATTATTTTACGCTGGTTTATTGGTTGTAGGGATGTTCAATGAATGAAGCTCAACCTTTATTTCAAGTGAAATTGTTAACTGACGATATTTTTTTAACTGGGAAATGAAGACAAAGAAGTGAATGTCCAATCGGCGTGGGGGTGGGGTGGGGGTGCTACTGGCAACTATTTTGGCGGGAAAATAAAAAAAAATGGCAGAGTTCTCTATCGGACATGACTATTACTCTTTTTTGTGCTGGCAAATTAGCTTTCTTGGCCTCAATTTTGAGTGCAGATTCGATTGTTTTTAAACTAGCAATTTTTAAGGCCAGAAAAGCCAGAGAACATGGATGGAAAGGAACGGCAGCCTAGCCCGGCATTTATGAAAGAAGTCTATATGATTTGTTTTTTTCCAGTAGACTGAAATCGAAAGGGATCATTTCAGCGTAAATTTGACCACTGTTCTTTCTCTCAACATATTCCCGTTCACATTATCTCTTACAAAATTTCTCCTCAACATTATTTCTGCCATCCACAATATTCGCCGTCTTCTTGAGGGGAAATAAGCCAGGACTAAAACGTGCCAATTCTTTGTCTCTGTAATGTTTTATTTCTAATCTTTTCTTTTGCATCAGTTATTCAGTTTTTCTAACTATTCACCTAACATTTATTTTTTTAGAACCCGTCTTTATCTCGAATACAAACTCTGCCGTCTCCTTCTGCGCACGCTCGAAAATCGAACAGCGCGTGTCAGCAGTCGTGGCCTGGGTGGGTACAGTCGTGCCACAAGTTATACCGTCTTTAGCCCAGTTGGGAATGTAGTCCGTCCATCAAGTCGTGCCTCTAACCAATCATGGCCAGGTATTTTGATTCGTCATTATGGAAGGAGGCCGCTGGGCAGCGCAACAAGTTTGCCTGCCATGATGAATTTGGGAATAGCACCTAACGGCCAAACGATTCAGAAGAAAGAAAATGGAAAAGAAAGCAATAAAGACGTGGAAGAAAAAATGGAAGGTGAGCAACGCATCGCAAAGAGAGTTATTAGGATGTACCGTAGTGATTCGATTTAGCGCCCGGGGCGCTTATTTACTTCTGGTACGTAAAGGGAGGGCGGTTATTAAGGGCAGAGTGCTTATTTCGTTTTCGAGAAACAGAAGAATATGCGAAACAGAGCTTGTTGTATATTTGAAAACGATGAAGAAAACTGGAAAACGAGCTTGTTATTTCTCGATCTTTCCTGGCGAGAACGAAAAGCCGACGAAATCATTCGTTTGAAAGAACTGTGCGCTCACATGGATTGTGAGCGCACATGTCTCTGTTGAGAAACTGAGACGAGGGCAACTGTTTTTTGCAGTGAGGCTATAAATGAGCTGTTAAAAGAAGGTAAACCACGGTTGATCTCAATAGACATGTACATGTATCCTAACAGTGCCATCAGAATAGGGCGTTTAGTGGAATAGGGCTTTTGTAGAATAGGGGCGCTTATCAATAAAAAACAAATTCGAGGAGGGAGGGGGGTGTTTATTGGTGTTAAAATCGAATCATTACGGTATTGTTGTTTGACTCCCGTGTTTGTTAAATATGATTTTCCGTTTGTCAAACCGAACAAACGAGACGTCACCAGCATCGATTTTAGGAATCAGTTATTTTTATCGCCGAAGTAAGGGGGGGAAGGGTGTTCCGAGGATGTTTGGGGGGACGAAGGGGAGATCAAAAGTCGCTAAAAGAACATAAAGGGGGGAACTATAGAACATTGACAATTAATGAGGCGGGGGGGGGGGGTGGATTATTAAAATACCAGAGAGACAAGAGGGAAAGGGGGCTAGTTCAGGTAAATTGTGTTGTGATACAACCAATATCCTCTGTCCTTCCCCCTTCCCTCCGGTCCCTTAGATGAGTAGTCAGACTGTTGAGTGTCCATAGTCTATTACATACGTAGTAGACGGAAGTGGTGATAACGTGCCCTAGTATCACAGATAGTAACTGGGAGAAGAGCTGGTATTATGATACCCCATAGGTAACATCACCGGCAAAAATATTCAGGTGATTACTGTATTTTAACCTGATTTCCTTATTTATTGATAAGAATAGCTTTTCCCCCTTCAAAACAGCTTCAACAACCCCACCTCTCTTCCCTCCCCTCCCCCCCACCTTTCCCACTCCCCGTATTTAGTACAACATTGAACCAGGGGATGGAGAGAAAACAGACTGAGGTTAGAGGATGCAATCAAAACAAGCTGACATTTCAATCCGATTCCTCTCTTGAAGGAGCCGTGATCACTGAGGAACAAATTGATGGTGACAACGTGACTGGCGTGACCAGGACAAACGAAGAAACCGATAAGGATGAATCAACACTCGAAAAGCGCAAGGCAAGAGCAAAAAGTGTCACGCTTAAAGATGAGGCCAAGACTCACGGTAAGTCAGGCGTCCTTGTGCCAAAGCACTTTTATACGCAGGGTGTGGTAATCACAACGAACACAACAGCCAATCAAATCAATGGTTAATATCACAAGCAACCTATGAGAACCTATTCTATTTTGAAAAAGCATCCAGCGCCCACTATGAGTGATCGATCTTAATTTTGAATTTTTTGGTCGGAAAGGTTAAGCGATTTTTTTAAAAATGCTTTAATTCCTTCCTTTTTAAGTTCTTAGAACATTTCATGGTACTGCAGGGGAAGATTCTATTCTTAACTCAAAAATAAAATTTATGATGAACAAAGATAACTTAGTTATGCAATAAATTAAAATCTTCTCTCAATGAAAAAAAAGAACCTTATTCATAATTTTCTTTCTGTTGTTTTTCGCAGATCCCCCAAATGACGAGGATTTGGAAATCAAACCGGAAGAAACGGAGGAACCTGAGGCGGAAGACGACTTCTCAGATTTCCCGGATAATGAGCTTGGTGCTGTTGTGGCGTTTGACGAAGATGATTTGGATGAAGCACAAACAGAAGCTGATGTTAAAAACATTACTAGCAAGCATCAAATGACAATCGAAGAACTAAAGAGAGAAGTTTTGGGATCGGTAAGAAACATTTTCCTAAACTACGAGCAGTCAGCCCTTGTGAGTAAAAAAAAAACCGTGAAAGAAAAAAATTGATGTTAATGCGCCGAGCGGAACTGTGGGAGTGAGGCACATGTCGTCGTGTCCCTTCTACAAAGGATCCTGTGATTGACAGTGAGTAAGAGAGAGGCCAAACAGCCTGATTTTGTAAACAGGAAAAAATAGGTCAATGAGCTTTTCCTGATGTAAAGTTTTGAATTAATAGATGAGTTAGACTAAACCAGTTAGATTATTCTCTCTCAATTTCTATGCGTGACTGTTGATTTGGGCTTCGCCCTCATCAACTATTACATAACTGAAGTCTTACGCTCATAATCTAATTATTACTTTGTTTTGTATTGGTATGTAATTATATCTGTTATGATACCTTTTTTTCTCCTTGGTGACATTTTCACAGCTACAAGGCATGGAACTTTTCAAGACATTTTTAGAAGACAAGTCGGGAAAACATTTGTTTAATTTTTGGCTGGACGCCGAGAGATACAAAGACAGTTTAGAGTCTGAACCGGAGGATACACTACGAGAACAGATGACAAGATTGTTCCGGTAAGATGACGCTTTTTTGAAGTTTTCATCTTCCTTTCATTATTGGTAAAGGCTACGAGGATCAATGTCAATATCTGAGCAATTACGCACCTACCCCTCCCCTAACCCAGCATTAGCCCTAACTTGTTATAAGTCGACTGTTGTTGGGTTAAGGGAAGGGTAACTGCGCAGTTTCTCAGACACTGAGATTGATCCGGCAACGAAATGTAACAAATGTCCCCGTTGCCTCTTTGGCAAACTTCAGTCTGGATGTCACGCAACGTTTATTCTGCTGACACTGGTTTTGTGTGACTTTTCAAGATACGGTTTTTAACGTAAGAAGAGATATGGTTGCCTGTTCAGTTTAATAATTCAATGCGTAGTCATAATTTATTTAAATTTATTTCCTCCTCAGAGAAATTCAGGACAAGTATAAAAACTTCCTGACAGTAGACGCAAAGGTAAACGATTTTCTGTCCGTTTGAAAGTTATTTCATGTTCCTCTGTCAAGTTATAATTTATTCATAATGCATATAAAATCTATCCATAGGAACAGATAGAGAGAGCACTATATGAAGGGGGGCTCACACAGGATCTGTTCGCGAGGACCCAGTACGACATGCTGAGGAGATTACGTTCCTACTGGATCCCAAGGTTCTTGGTTCATGTGGAAAGGAACAGTGACTTTGGGTAAGGGAGTTTAAAGTGATTGCATCTTTGAATAAATTATTGAAAGATGTGACGTTAGCCCAGTTCTGCGGTTTTGTTTCATTTTAGGCCGGAAAATTCGTCTTTGAATAGTTTATGGTCATAATTATACGACCTTCCACTCCTCGGGGAAACTTCTCCCTCAAATTTTCTAGTGGGGGGATTAGTGTGCCCAGCCAGGCTGCAGGAATTGTCACGCTAAAATTTAATATCTAAATCCCCAAACTTGAATTTCGTAGCAATGTGCCTGGTTGTGTGATTCGTTAAACGAAGGATTCGTTCGTTTGTCGTTTTGTTTGTTTTGGTTCTTTGTGCAAGGTTGTCTATCTTTCTTTCCGTCCGTCTGTCCGTCCGCCCCTCCCCTCCCCCCTACGTAAGAGTCTGGTCATTATTTATCTCTTAAGAGGGGTAGGAGATATTGGCTGTGTCAGTGTCACAATAAAATTTACCTGATCTCCCCCTGAGGCTCAGTAGTATTTTAAAGTTCGCCCCTCATTAGCAGTCAATGTTCCATAGTTCCCCCTCCCCTTTATACTTTGTTGATGTCGACTGATTCCCTCCGTCACCCTGGAAACCATGTGATCCCCTAGAATCCCTCCCCCGCTCCCCCCCCCCCCCCCGTAATAAATAATGAGTCGTCCTTAAGTACGTCTCTCTACCTCTCTCTTCATTTGTTAGTCTGTTCGTAGGACCTAACTGGCGTTTTGTCTGTCTGTCTGTCTGTCTGTCTGTCTCGGTCTGTCATGTACTTAAGTTCTGTCATTCCGTGCCGTGATTGTCTGATTTTCGATGCTTGAATCTGATGTTTCAAGTCACGTTGATTCTTAAATGAAAGGCCTTTATCTCTACATCCTGGACATGTTCCTTTTCTTCTTTTTTTCTCGCAGAGACCAGTATATGGGATATAATGATCTCAACCGCCCACCATCAGGCTTGAGTTTCTTTCCCACTGTATCGTTCGCTCACTCCTTACCACCGCTAGGGGAATGGTGTCGAGAGGTTGTTCGGTCACGCCAATGGGACCGTGACATCATGGTGAAGGAGAATAGGAACAAATCAGCGCGGAGAAGACTGAGCCGAATACCTGAAAGGTAGGTTTGCGTAGTGACCAAGTGACAACGTCTTACTATTATAAGATAGCACGTTCAATGTCCTAATTGCACAAGCCGCACGTGCAGGTTGATCAATAGACCTCTCGCCAAAATAATGACCAAAAAACAATTTTAACAAGGAAAAATTATTTTCCTCCTTCATGACAGGAAAAAACTTGACAACTCTTACATTATGTATGACGAGCCTAAACCAATGAGAGCAGATAAACCAGTCAAAGTTATCAACACTTAAGCTTTCTCCATCATAAACTCTTAGTTTGCCAAGTGCACTCTAACTAATCCCTCCATGCTGTTTCTCGGGTTTTTTCTCTTAAGGAACGAAGAAGAATTCACTGCTGCTCTTCGCGGAGAGAAGGAGGCTGGATGTCCTTTTAAACGCTACTTGGAAAAGTAAGTTTTTTCTTAAAATCCTAGCTGTTCGAACAAAATGTTTGTAGAAAGCTTGGCGGTACTTAAGAAATTTCCTAATCAACTTGAGTGCAAAAACAGTAATTTCTATCTCTATGTTGTGATTTATGCAATAACGTTGCGTGGCAAAGAGAACGTAACCCATTTGACACGTAAGATTGACAGTTAAGGCGTGTTATCGTTAGCGCTTATTAGGTTATGTCACAAAGAATTAAAGTATACAATTTTGAGAGTAAGCGTGCGAGATGATCTTCAGCCTGAGAAATTCTACTAAGGAAGTGGCTTTTTTTTTCTAATCGATTCAGTCAGGTTTCAACACAGAGGCCTATCTGGTCCACTCTTTGACATATGAGCGAATATTTGGTTAATATTGAGGAAAAAACCTACAGGATAGAATATTCAGGGTGGCGCTTTTCGGTTGAGTGTCGTTAAACCAACAGGAAAGTTATAACAACAGCCAATTCAGTCTTAACAAAGTAAAAACACCAGGAGATGATGAGGACTCCTTCGGTCGTTTCACGCCTTACCGGCTCCTGACACTTCCTTAAAAGAAAAGTCGCTTAAATTATATTTTTATTGCAAACTGCAGTTATTAAGTTTTCTTCTGATGTATAGTTTGCAAGGATTTAAGTGAAACTAGCGCGCGTACGAATTTTTTCCCGAAGGACGCTTGCGAAGGTGGGAAGTAACCCTAAACGGGTTTAAACGCGGGAAAAAGTGAGCGACCGAGTTTTTTAATTTGTTTCTGATTGGTTGAGGGAATTGCGCGAGTGTTCTTGAAAAGTCACACTACGCAGTAAAGTAATACTAAAACGAACCCCAAATACTTCCGACACTTTTGAGAATTTCACTTGTAGTTCTAATTTCTCCACTTTGTCTTTTTCCAAATCTACAGTAACACCAGTGTTGACAAGTCTTTATTATGTAACCTCCTATTTTGGTTGGATGTAACTGATTTCAATGCAGCCGAGAAGAGATCTGGTGACCGTTACCTCAGACTGGTCAATGCTTGGGCGATATTCAACAAATATATTGCGAAAGGTAAACTTTATCCTTTTCCATATGGTACATCTATTTACTTACTTATTTATCTGTGTATCGATCTCCATGTTCAACCGTTTATTAATTTTTTTTATTACGTTTGTGTTCTATTTTTATTTAATGTTTGATTTACAATATTATGTTAGTTCACCGTTGACTCTATAGTCTCCTTGCTCATTAAACGAAGTTGCCTTTTCGCGGCATTTAGATGCTGAAATGAACATTGGATTGCACAACAGTGAAAGTCAAAAACTAGAAAGCAATCTCCTCTCATCCGAAGATCTACCGCTGGCCTTTTTCAAGCCGGCTCAGGTAACAAGTTCAATTTTAACCCTGCCATATTTAGTTATATTTGTTGGCATTCCCACCTTTCACGATTTTTGTTTAGGAGTAGTTTTTATACAAAGGAAATTTTTGCGAAAAACCATATTAAACAGAAAAGCAGGATATGTGCCTTAGACTATGATTTAATCAATCGACCCCACCTGATTTTGAACGGGGGCATACGTGAAAAGGAAAACGAGGGAATCATTATTTTTTTAAAGTTGTTTTCTTTATTCCGCCCTTTTTTTTTTCTTTAACGTATGTTCCAATGCCGTTCAATTCGTCGTTGCTCACTTAACACTCGTGGGTTGAGTGAGGCACTGAAAGAATTAATATTCTAAGCCAAGAACATGACACAGTTTCATCCGTTGGGCTTGGACCACAGCGCGACATGCCGTTTGAAGCCAGGCGCACTCACCATTTAAAGGCCCCCGTTTCTCCCACGTACCACCTGATGAACGTTTTACTTTGTTCTTGACAGGAGCATGCTGTGAAAAGACTTGAACCAAGCTGGGAAGCCTTCAAACACTTTGAAGAGGAAACATTTTTGAGGTAAGTTAATGGTGAGGTAATTTTGCAACTCTTACCTAGATCTCCTTCGTTGTCACTGTAAACTATACTGATGCTCTGATCACAACTATCGGTAAGAGGTTGTCGCATCATTGCAGCCAGGCCCTCTCCGTCGGAACTCGAACTGCAATGGCATTGATTTATTGCGCATTGAACGAACTAAAAGAGGCGCACAAAATACTAGAATCCTAATGTGCATTAATTGTTTTATTGATCGATTAACTGTTTGGAATTTCCAGGCCTGTCAAGGGACCTTTTGATCGTATGTCCAACATCTCCAGCGAGAAGGTTGAAGAGAAGAGTCGATATTTCTCGCCGACATCAGGACGCTGGGTGAAAAGGTAAGAATGAATTAGATTTATTGAGTGTGGAAGATTAGGGGAAGGCTGCACAGTTTTGTGCACGTGCACGCTCATTCGGTTCGGTTTTGCGGATGCAAAACTGACAAACTATCTTCTGCGTGAGGGAAACAGGAAATTGTTATTTTTTAATCCCAAGGTTTCTCGCTTTTTTTTTTAAGATGGCAACTTAAACGCTCTTAGGTGGCCCCTAGTTTTTAAAAGTGACCAAGAAACCTCCTAAGGACAACCCTTAAGATGAGATTGAAATACTAATAGTTCCTTTAGTTAAGAAAAGAATGAAATAATATAAAAAAAGGAAAACACAAGCCACTAAGGATGGCAATGGTCAGTTGAAGATGCGATCACATAACTTTTGAAAGGCTTTTACATGTGTATTTATGCATTAATTTCTTTTATCATCATCGTCATCATTACCGTCATCCTTATCATTGTTTTCTTAATCTTATTTTGATCTTGTGCTTTCAAGACATCCGGGATCCACGCCCTCCCAGAGACAGAGGCGATTGTATACGTCATTAGCAATGGCTGAGGAAATCGACGCTGATCGTTCGTCTCCTCGGACCCAGTCACCAACACGGCCATCAATCCCACAGCCCTCCAAGGTATGCTGCGCTCCAAAGCGGAGGCTCCATAGGAGGAGAGTGTGGGAGGAGGGGATTAGAAACACGCTATAGAAAGAGATGCTAAATTGGAAGAAATAAAATTACAGGGGTTGTTTAGGTTATATAGCAATGCCCAATATGAAAAAGAGGGAAAAGCGTGAAAAAAAAAAAAATTAACACCAGGAAGACTCCTCAAGAGCCGGAGAAACTCTTTATGGTGGTAAAGTTATGCAAGGAAATACAGTAAAGTCAAAAAAAGGAAATGAATGGAGAAATCCCATGCGAGATCTCTTTCTAAGGTCGTAAGCAATATTCTTTTGTTATGAAGCACTTTTCTCTGAGGCCTTTTATAGGATTCAGTTTTTGAACAGGGAGCGACTGCAGCGTAGAGCCAAAAGAGTGGAATGTTGGATGGATTGAGACCAGACCCAGGCCTCCTCTTTTCCTCGCTCAGCCCTGAAATCGCGTCCTGTTTACCAAGTGAATGCCACGAGCAGATGAACAGCTCTGTCGATGGACTGTTTTCAGTCTCTGTTTTGAGTCTCAAAGCAAAATTCTGCTTAAGCAGACGTACTGTTATTTGCTTATCCATTATCCTTTTAAACCATTTATCTTACAGTTTTTTTTTTGTTACAGGCTAAGAAGGCGAAACCCAAAGCCAAAAAGAAGACTAAAGCATCAAAGAATGTTTCTTTCGACTCCAAGAAAAAGAAAGCGACAGATTCCGACGAGGATGGATCTGACAGTGACAAGAAAAAGCAGGGAGAACCTGCCAAGGCCGCTGTACCGGATTTTGTGGACGTATTAGAGAACAAAGGGTCGGTAACAATAATTTTTCAATCAATTTTCGAGGAAAGAGCGCTTTTACTTGCTCTGAAAAATTATGCCAGATTCTTTTGAAGATTGAAAACCAATCGCCTTTACCTAACGTTCTGCCTTGTTTAAGGGCCGTGAATTTGGTTTAACTATGGGTTTCCGTGGTTCCGTGTGTTACCAAGTGTCACTTTTAGAAAATGGTATCTAGAATCGATTTTTTTTTCTTTTTTACTGAATCACTCTCCACTGTTTCAAATCCAAGCGTAAAAGCCACGAAGATATGTAAACTTTGTCATAAGCAATATAGCATGAATTTGCTGTTCAGTAGCTTTCCTTTGAATTTTCACACTGTTTCGTTCAAAACTTAAAAATCAAAGCCACCTTCATGTGTTCAGCGTCGGTATTTTTGGGGGGTAAGAAAATTCAGGCAAGTAGGCATTAAAAAATTAAAACGTTCTCGATTGAAAATTTGTTACTGTTTGACTAAAAGTATATGAAATGGGGTCTGTAAAATTGGCCACAGAATAGACTAGAAAGCAGAAGGGGTTCTGAGTGGTCAGCGGCACATACCCAGAAAAATTGACCCTAGTCCCACCCCCACTCCTGAGTGGCACACATTGCGGTCAGTTTCGCAAAATTGAAAGCTTGAATCATTGTTTAATAGAACCATGTCGGCTTTCAAGCAATATGTTCAGAACATGGAGGGAAGGCAGTCTTTGAACCAATTGTTAATGTACTTGGAAATCGAACAATACAACGCCATTTTACCTGCAAAAAAAGTCCAGAAAACGCAACAAGCAACGCATATTTACAAGTAAGGTTATTGTAAAATATTTTAGTTGGTGATGTTGTAAAACCTTCTCCAAAATAGTTGCCGAAATCAGTATAGCTCAGAATGATATCATTATTTTAACGACTAATTCTTTGCTGGATCGACACTAGCACACTTTATGGTGTATTCTTATAAGAAATGTGTAATTATTACTCAACGAGTTGTGATTCCTTTTCTGGCATATATAATTACTGAAGCAACGCCAGAGTCTCATAGAAACACCCTTTATTTTAGCCTTATGTAGCTATAACTCTAAAACGCAGTTTGTGTTATCCATTTTTGAATCGCAGTCTGCATATCGAGTTTTAATCCTTTGCTGACTGGAAAACAATCTGTCCATAAGTTTCAGAGCCGCTGGAGTAGAATATTTATCTTCTGTTTGATGGATAATTTGCTGATATTTTAACATTTAAAATACTCCTAAAAGAAGTGTATTTGTGCTCCATTCTGATTTTTTTCTCCTATTTCTTCCAGAACCTACTTTGATCCCACATCTAGAAGGTAATTGTTGAATAGTTATCTTTTATTATTTTAATCATTAATGTATTTGTATAAATCGACTTCTCTCTAATTGATTGTCTTTCTCTGATTCTCGTGGATAGGTCGGTGGGTCTTCCCCAGTCCTTACTCAACCAGGTCGATGGAGAGAGACCCACGTCTCCAGTCTTTACCGCGGCGCAGCAATTCGTGCTTGGTGATGTCCAGACTTACTTCAAAAGTTTTTTTAAGGTAGAATTATGCTTGGCACTTGTGTATAAAGATTTGAAGGATAATGTTATCGGGTAACGCTTTGTAAAGGCTCGATTGCCGACCGCTGTTTCCTCTCCGAACCGAAGATTTGTTTGGGAGAGTCAGACTGCATTCGAGAAATCGTTGGAAATTGAGCCTACGCTTTGCATTAAGCTTTTTGGATCGGAAGAGCAGATCTCCTAACCTATCAGAATTCCACCGTTAATAAGACAGGTTAATCCAATTTTTATGGCACATTACTTGGCTTGAGCAGTGTTTTCGTAAAAGACCTTTCTAATAAGTCTTAGAAAGTATACACGCTGGCCCTAGTTAGACAAGTCTCGAATAGGCCGAGTCTAAGTGACTTTTTATTTTGAACCGGGCTCCTCGCTTTGCTCAGTCAGTTTTTTCATTAGGTATTATTCCAGTAATCCTTAAGCCTAATGACTTAAACTTTCTCACTATTTATGAATAAGTACTTACGTTTTCCCGCCTTGAAGGCCGTGTACATGTATATACTTTGAGCTCTCATTGGCTCTTTGCGATATTTTTGTGCGTTTTGATTGGCTGATGTGACACTCAGTCGTGAAAGTACTTCAGGCGAGGTTCAAACCCTCTCATATACTAATCAATGAGGTACAACTTTGATTTTTTCCCACTGGTGTCCCTTTCAGCATGCGCAGGACACCGCTGGCCGACGAGAAGGTACACCAAACACTCCTGGAAGTTTTAACAAGGGTGACACATTCGAGAGCTCACAGAGTTTCCTTCAGCTTTACAGAAGAAGAGCGAGAAAAAATAAGGTTCGTATACAGAAGAGCGTCTTCTTTCACGTTGGTTGGACAGGGGCTCTCTCTCTCTCTGCTACGTCAAACATCGCCGTAAAATCTCGTCACGTAAAAACCTGGACAAACAAAGCTATTTCGTGCTCAGCGTTTATTTTTATACTCTTAGCATATTGGTAAGCAGAGTGGACGCACTCTACATTGTAGTTTACAAGCGGACAGATGTATGTCTACCCAGGTTTGCTTGCCTGCTGCTATGTTCCTTTCTTAGCTGAGGTTCCACTCTATGCAGAACTACCAGTTAAAGTCTCTCAACAGCAAAGTTAGACTACGCGTTGAGATCTACAAGAAAGCTTCAACAGGAGTACTTAGTCATCTAACGAGCGGAATCGTTTTTCCTGCCAGGGCCCTCGTTGGCCGCGCTTTATGTGCCCTATGTGCAGTGTTAGAGTACTTGCAATCTCGCACTGATTTATTTGTCTATTTACCTATTCTATTATTACTCATTCATTCACGCATTTATTGGATTAAGTTATCTATTATTATATTAATATTATTTGTATTTTGTATATTTGTATATTTTAGAGCACTGGCCGATCCGCTCCGTCTAAAGAAGACAAAGACAACTTTAAGAAAGTTCTGCAGTCTATACACGGACGTCTTTCGGTTAAAATGGAATATTTTCGGCGATATTTACAGGCCCATGGTGAACCAGACGGCTTTCCTCGCTTAGAGAACGATCTTGTTTTCTATTTGGAAGTTCAGAAGTTCAAGGTAAGAAATTCAAGACACTGTTGCAAAAACAAAGAAAGAGGAAATGCAAAATATGTTTCAATAATAGATTACGATGGATAATTAACAATTATTTGCCAAAGTGAGCGTAGATAAAGGGGGCGAGACGCGACGCATTGAGGTAAATAGCTATTACTTTCAGCCACACCGAGAGTCGAACAATTTAGGTTTTATTATAAACCACACAGAGACCTAAAGAGATAAATTATTTCTGTCAATGTATCGAAAAATGGTCAGAAATTAATCACTTGACGCGCGATTTTGTTCTTCTGCTGCTCAGAGGTGACAGGTACAGGCTAAACGCTTCCGAACTAGCTGATCAGCGCGCGCGAAAAGCATTAACCTGTATGGTGTATACTCAACTTGGATATTTTTAGCGCAAGCATGAGAATGCACAGTTAATTTTTGTTATTATACCGGAAAATGGTCGGAAAATTTCAAAACTTTGACGCACGATTTTGTCTCTTCGACCGCTCGGAGGTGAATAGCACCTGGTAATCGCTTCCAAAGCAGCCAATCAGCGCGTGAGAAAAGCACTGTTCACCTGTGTGGTATGTACTAAATTTTAGTGCAAGCTTGAAAATACGATTAAACATTTTGAAAAACTAAATGTAAATCAAAATCATCCACTTTACAGAAGACACCAAATGTGGTTTACAATGAATTCAGTATTGACGCCTGTGATTCAGTTGAGACTTCGAGGAATCGCAGGTTACAAATGTGGGACTGCAAAACATTATGCAAAGCAATTGTGACTCCAAAGCCTGATCGGCAATCCCATTTGATAAGAGTTTTGCGAGACTGTTTCTATTGGAACAGAGCGTGTGCTTTAATTGCCAGCACGGAAACAACACCACAACATATTGTTTTCTATGATTCATAACTCTCTACTCCCATTTCGTTTACCATCCCATAGTTTACTGATTTTCTTGAATTTTTTTTATGAAATTTTAATTTTTTCTCTCTTTACATACAGGAATTGTTTAACTACATGGATGATGTAAGTCTTGTGAACTGGTTGATTTTCTCAGTAGCTTCTTGCACCCACTTCTGAATGATGGAGTGTTTGCTTTCATATCCTAGGTTTCCCTAAATCGTAAAGTAGAGGCAATCATCGAGTGTTTCTTGGACTCAGCCACCCCTCCCTGGCTACAGGTGAGAACATATCGAATTCTTTGTTTTTGTTGTTGTCGTTTGCCCCCTCCCTCCCCACCCTTCAACAGACGAAACTTGCTTGTTTCCGTCGTGCCCCTCTCATCTTGCGTGACTCGTACTTTGCGCTAGCATCGCGCTTGCCTTTGTTCGACAACGCAAAAAAAAAAAGAAATTGTTTATTCAGCAGGCTAGGCTTAAAATTCACCTAGGAACAAATATCAGTCTGAAATATGTGCTCGTTTAAATTTGCTGGCATGTGCACAAAAAAATAAATTATACCGCTTAACTGTTCAGACCGGCATTTAGAGGGATTTCTTTTTCTTTGCGGTAACTTTTCCACGCATCTCTCCACGATTTTATTTTTCAACACCATTTTCAAATGCCTTTTACTTAATGCTCCATCAAGGATGAAGCCCATTGGAAAATTCATGTTAATTATCTTTAGCAGGAGACCAGGCTTATTATTTTGACGCCATGCATTGTTTCAGTAGCAGGTGTTGTTTCGCATTGTCACGCAACGCGTGACAAGACCACATAATAAAAGAAAAACATTTCAAAGTCAAAGTAAAATTTCATTTGCAAATTGAAAAAAATGTGTGTATGTAGAGTAGCTTGGACTGCCATGGCGCACCATAGAGGGAATTGAGATTAACACATTTTCTGACAAATGAAGCATCCTATTCCTTCAAAAATAAAATGTATTCTCGGTGCTCCTGGAAAGAATATGGTTTGAAAGTAAATATTCATTCAACAACATCACTTCATTACTAGAGTAATTTACATGTGGTTAATTTATTACCCATATGGTATCCAACTTTTGCTATCAAGGTGGTCTAAACAATGAAAATATTCTCCGTTACGAGTACTGACTTCGTTTACATGGCAAACCAAATTTTAACCCTGAAACCCCAAGCAACTCCCGCGTCACCGTTTACTTAAGTTGGAATTTCAAACCGTCATAAACCATTTACGAATGGTTTGATGTCAACTCGGAAAGTTACCGTTAAAAGCGTCTTTAAGAATTAATACGATGAAACATCAACCTTTGTCAGTTTGAAGAGCATTTCATTAGTCTGTAATGAACTGTTTTTACATGGTAATACTCTCTCGCTTAAATTTCAGAAAAATTCATAACTCTAACTAAACTTCGGGTAAAATTTCCTCACAGCCCCATACTACATTACGCATTCAGTTCTTGGATAGAGAAAACAATGACAAAAACAATGGATCGCAAAAAAACAGACAACAACAACAAAAAAAAACCAGAAAACTGGGAAAACAAATTTGTTTTACAATAGTATGGGGTTGTGCGGAAATTTTACCAAACTTCGAAACGTTTCTTGATAAAGTGTTAGGAAATGTTAAGTTTTCATAGTTTTCCTATGAAAAGTTGCTTTAAAACTTTTAATAATTGATGAGCGATAAACCAGAGTGTCACCTTGTGTAAATACTTAAAGTTAATATATGCTAAAAAATTCAGATGAAATGAAACTAAGCTCAAACTTTAATTTAAAGTTATAGCCTTAATTTTTCTATCTCTTCACAACTTCGCAGTGCATCTGTTATTTTGTGGGCCAACGGTTTTTCGTATGGAATTCTCATAAAATCACCATAAGATGATGTCAGAAGTTTCCTCCATTCGCGCGGTGCTGGTAAAGCAAACCCATCGAAATTCACTACAACTAAAGGGAAAATGTCGGTCCGTTTTCTTCTCAACGGTCCGTAGATAAATCTTCGTACGAACCATGAGGAATGACTGAACAGGTTTAAAAAATTGCCATCAGAATCCGTCTCTAGTACCAGCATATCAAGTTGCAAACCATCCGCAAACTTGCAGCCGTTACGAAGACAATACTTATAACAACTCTTGGTGTCGCGAAGTTTCCCCAACATTCCACTTTGAGGCGGAATTTTGTAAAATACATCGGTGTCTTCTGTTTGGAAAAATATATCATCTGGAAGTTCTTTCAGACCGTATTTAACAAACTTTTCAAAGTCTGCTTTAGGAATGCAAATATCTATGTCATCGTCGAAAGGATTGTGGCCGCCATGTCGAATCGCTCCGAGAAGACTGCCTCTAGTTAACCAGTATTTTATACCGTGCTTTTTTGCAATCAGATCAAAGATTCGAAGAATTCTTGTAAGCACTAACTGAGCCTTTCGAAGTGGTGTTGAACCCAACTGACGGATATCTGGGCAGTCAATGTCGCCGTTTGGAGTATTTTGACACTTTCCTAACTTCGTGTATGCGACTGGACGGCGTGAGTCTAATTCCTGCAAGCGAACGCCTCGTTTAGGTAGCGAAGTAATCAAGAGCGATCCCAAAACACATGTACCTATCAAAATAATCAATGAGATAAATGCAGGTCGCCTCCATCTACGCTGTGTTGGCCCTCTTCTGATCCATCGCCATAAATTTAGCATGGTTTTGAATTCGAAGTAAAGGAGACTTGCTGATCTCCATGTGAACTCTGACGTCAGAAAAATATTCATGTGGCACTAGGCGAGGTTACCTATCAACTTTAAGTCAATTTTGGTACAAATGATTTTTTCGCTCATAAAAACTTTCGCAAGCGCTACCAAACCTTACAGATGCCATCCACTAGCTTTGGAAGCCGTGAATATTTTGTCAGGCTAGAAAATCCTTCTTCATATTTCGCAACCTTTTATACTACGAAGCGTCTATGAAAGTATACAACAATTACTGGCCGAAAGCGAAACGAAGATGGATAGGTTATCGCATATGGCCGTGTTAAATACAGGACTTTTCATTGTTTTGTTAGGGTTAATGAATTGTAAAATGCGCGAATTAGCCCTTTTAAAAAACATTCGCCATCCAAGAAAATTATAATACACGACATTAAGCCGTTTTAAGGGTTCTAAATGTAGTAGTTTCCCGGGGATTTACCAATGTTAAGGAAAAATGTTCTCTGTCCCAGCAAATCAGCATTTAACAATTTTGCCTTCTGGGCTATAACTGACAATCAATATATATAAATCATGCATGTGAACTACGAATAAAGAAGTGAATATTAAACCGATGTTCGCGGTAATGGACACCACTTGAGCAGAAGTGAAAATAAGGCTTGAAAAAAAGAAATTAAATTAACACTCAATTTCTAAAGTCCACCTTTATGCTCCGTTGGTGTCGACTGATTTCTCTTACCTCCCCCCTAAAAACTATGTGATCCCCCCTATAAATTCTCCGAACCCCCGACCGCAGGTGATAGAGCAGGTGATCGAGCAGGTGATCGATTATGAATAGTTCAGTGGCGGATCCAGGGGGGGGGCACGGGGGGCCCGTGGCCCCCCTTTTTAAAATCCTAGATCCGCCTCTGAGTTGCGTACCCAAACCTTTCACGGCCAAGCGGTTGTTTCAGTGACAGTTACACAGTAAGATCTGGGTACGAGATTAGATTATGGCTGGTTTCTTGTAATCAATAGCAATAGAAAAAAAAGGAAACCCTTTAAAACTCTAAAAACATTCATTCATCTTAATCTGTGAAAATCTTTTTTACAGATTGACATTGGTCCCGAGCTTGCTTCTCGTATTATACACAAGGCCCAGGTCTTTTCGTCGGGGAAGAAAATCCCCAGGGAACAAAAGGAGCCAGGGCTTTTCGACGAGGCTCAAAGCATCTTGTTCAAGGAAATGCTCCCCTATTGGGCAGGATTTTGTAAACAGTACACTCCACCTGAAGATGGGGCAAATGTCAAGTTACCTCGTAAGTGTCTTTTTGAAGAGTGTGGAACTGCGCGTGCGCGGATGCTACTTTTCGAAATCTTTAGAAGCTAAGGAAACGCGTTTTTTCGCTCGCGCGAAGATTTGAGACTAGTTAGGAAAGTTTGCTCGGGGTCTGGCATTAATGATTAGTGCCAGACCTCTTGCAGACCTCTCGCTGGCCAGCGTTTTTCCAGGCGTCATACTTTCCCAAGGGTAAAGAAACGCATATTAACAACGACAGCCTACTGGCAGGCTACTTTTGGGGCCTCCTGATGTCTTCTTTTGTCCTCATATTTTGTCCGATCAAGCTGGTTTTGATTCGTTGTCTTTCTTTCCAGTTATAAAAAATAATGATCATGATAAAATATCTGATAAATTAATCAAAATATAATCTTCTCTTTTCAGCCACTAAACAAGAGAAACTCCTACAGAAACGCTACGCAGAATTCCTGAAATACCCGGCAGTCACTAAGACTATCACTCTACCCCTGTTGGTACCTAGTGTACATGGTCAGTCCAAGAGCGAGCTAAGTTTTTCTGTTTCGGACGGAATGAAATGGAAGGTATGCAAGAGACACTGTCTTTTTTATCTAAAAATGAAGATAAATATATGAATAAAGAGGTAAACATTTGTGACGAGGAAAACTAAGGAGATCCCATAAGGCTTCGAGCCAGTTGCGATCGATGTAGCGGTTTTATGCTCCTACGACTGTCGCTAAGGGGTGAGAAGTTTGGAATTGGCAACCAAGCTAAACTAGCTTTTTTCCCAGTGAATTACGGCCAGCTAAATTGACCAATCATACTACGCACGTTCGAACTGAGAGATAACAACGATAATAAATCATATTGGAAGCAGCTTCCTTTTGTTGAGATGGGGTACGTGCGGAATAATGGAATAGAAAAAAGAATGACTTCGTGGTTGAAGTAGTCCTGAAAAGTTTTGTTTTTGCCAAGAATAACTGGTGGTTGACAAAGCGAAGGGAGTCAAGAAGCCTTCAATCAATTACTTGACCCCGATTATGACCTCTTCCCAAATTGTCGAAAGGTGAGTCTCTGTTATAAACAACAGTCTCTCTTTGCCCGGACTATCATCTTCCGGACGAAGTTTTAGGTGATCTTCGCTGGCTTTGGACGAGGATATTCGGACCATCAAACCGAAGCTAAATTGGCGAGCTCATCAATCTCGGTAGCGGAAAGAGGAAAGAAATGTTAAATACTAGAGAGAGGTATAGGGGGAAGCTATCGCGATTGCGTGAATTCGAGGGGTACCAGTTAATTTGACGATAATAGAAAAACGGAAATCAAACATTGTTTTATATTTATACGATAGCTTTTTTTTTTCCTAGGAAACTAAGGACCTTGAGACAGCTAGTGTTGCGTCGAGCCAGGCAGGGAGTGTTCGTGGGAGAGCGGGGGAGAATGGTGCCACGGTGGACCTATCTAATCAGCAAACACAAGTAGAGGTAAACACTTGACGCAAGGTTTCCAATGATGGAGTGTACGCTGTCAGGCAGCGGAGACTAGTGAGAGAGCACGCACACTTTCCGCCCTTTTTCGTCAACGTATCGGAAGAGAGCTTGTCACAGGCAAGAGCATAGAATGTTTAGCGATAATCCTTTCGTTAATTTTTCTTAGAGGCAATGGTGTGTCTGTTATGCAAAACTACACCTTTTCACCTTCAATACGTGAAAACTCCCTCTGGAACCTATTTGATTTGATCAAGTGATTTACAAACTTTGATAAACTGCCAACGTCTCTGAACATGTGTACTGTATTTTTTAACAAAAGTGTTCTGAGAACTTAGAAAATACACAGAGACTTTGTAGATAGACTTAAAAGACCGGTAATTACAGCGCAAGCCTTTTGGTACCAGCAAGCAATTTTTTGATTCAATGACGAATTTTCTAGACGCATTGCATTCGCGCAGAAGTATTTATTTTGTAAATTGTATTTTTCTAAAAAATGTAAAAGTATGTGGAGGTATTTTAAATCAATAAAACGTCTATTTTATGAATTTGTTGGCGCTTTTTTCGTCTCATGGAACTAGAATTTAACCCTTTCACTCCACAAGATCTTATTAGTAATTCTCCTTATTTTCTGCCATGCAATTCTTATGATGTTAGTTTGGAGAATTTGATATTGGATCAACTTATAATCTCTTATTGATATTTTTCTTTATTCTCATTACCTGTCTGCTTGATATTGTACTGACATTGTAAGGAGAAATTCTGTCTTGGTCACTCGTGGACATGAAAAGGTTAAATGAATGTTGAACTAGGATTCTGATGTCTCTCAGATGTAGATTGATAAGAATCTCCTTTAAAGTCATCCATTCAAGTTGGATGATTTAATTACTTGACTTTACTGTACGCTTTATTGGCCAAGCAGAACTACATCGATCATAAGCGAAATTTCATGGGTTCGCGATTATCGCTCACGCGATCAAATCTCGCTGTGAACAACTTATGAAAGCGAAAGGAATGCTCCATAAACCATGTAACATTTGTCGCTGCCATCAGTTATAAAAGGTTATGAGGCACTGTGAGATCTGTTTTTAAGCTAAAAAGGTTAATGTATCCTTTCAAGAAGTGATATAGCTAAGTTCAATTGTACTAATATTCGACTGCCTCTTCCGCCATTTTGAATATTGCTTAGCATCCTGGCCTCTAACTTTAAACGCAACAGATTTAAGCTCACGGCATGGCTGCGCTCGAGCGCAGGCTGCATGAAAATACTAAGGTCAAGAATTGAAATAGCAACTGTTTGTGAACCACGCATTTTCGTTCCCGTCAAACATTCCTCAGACAAACACGTCAAATCAAATCGATTGACGTCATACACGTCACATCTGTTGATTCAGAGCAGGAGTGGCCCAATGGATACACTTCCTCCATTAATAGGCTGAGCCACAATACTCCCGGTTTGCCGCAGTATTGAAAGAGCAGCAACTAAAATTGCGCTATAGGAAAACTGATAGGTAAACACTGCACGTAGCGACGAAGGAATTCTTTTTTTCTCGTTTTTGTAACAGTTCCGGTTAATGAAACTGAACAGGACGTTAAATTAAAATTTGCAAATAAGTCTCTGACTCAATTCACAGCACACTCAACTCTGTACTTTAAATTAATCATTGTCCTTAAACCTTAGCAGAAATCTTGAGAATTATTTCGTTCTTTTTCTTTACAAATTGCGATTAAAAACCAATTATTTTTGAAAGCGAGAGGTTACTAGGCATCGTGGGAAAAGTAAGCAAAGCGGGATTCGTAAAAAAAAATAATGAAAATATTGAAATTCCACCCAAGGACTTTTATTAGTTTTTTTTATCTCGTCCTTTAAACTTTAAAATTGTCGACCACTTTGTTTGATAAAGGTATCATTTTGTATTAAATTCAGGAAAAAAGTGTACTATCGTCTGGCACGATTGTTTGTTTGACTACGGTTTTTTTGGACTCTTGCAAAACCTACAATAATCCTGAATGGTTTAAATTGCGCAAAAAAGCATAAAACTGTCCATTTTTAAAAATAGTTTTAGAATAAACCGGAAACACATAGCTGTTTCAAATGGGTTCTCTAAAGAAAAATATGACAATATATTTACCTTTCGAGATACCGGTATGGAAATAGAGTAGAAGTTTATTAGTGAATCCATCAATCATCGATACAAGAGTACATTTAGCATTGAGGTAATGTAAACAAACTCTGACAGTTGGCTTGAAGGAAGCTAAAACGACTAAACGCAAATGATATTTGCACGTAGCACCGATTACTCTTTGTTTACAACTTACTTGAGGCGAAGACATGCTACGCGTTATAAGCTGAATTAAGTTTGAGCATCTTTTAATGATATGAGCAAAAACAGTTTGCGTAAACGAACCGAAACGATGCCCATTAATTTAAAGATTGACAAATCAACGAGAGAATCAAGTTTTGGAACTTCAGTGAGCCGGGAGAGCAGTTTCAGCAGTGTCGAATTAGGCGCATCGAATTCTGTTAGTCGTGAGAGCAGTTTTTCCAGCGTGGCGAGTAGCAGTGGAAGTGGTGGGATTTTCGAAGTGGATTCATCTCGGTCGTCATCTAGATCTAATTCCTGGCGATCGAGCGAGGATTCCAGCGAAAGACAACGAATTTCAAGCGTAACAGATCAACAGTATCAAAGATTGCATAATGCAAGGGAAAGATTTCGCAAAGCGAGGGAACCGACTTCAAATGACTCTTCTCCCACAGAAGAGTGTCACACCCCACCCGAAAACACCCGATCAATGACGAACCTTAAAAGACCCGAAGTCCATGGAAGAAGTGCATCTGAACCGCAAGTTTTGGTGCTGTCTCCGATCTCAAGTCAGTCAAAGCTTTCCGCAAGTCCCGAGGGCTTGGTAATCTCAACGCCGCCTGTGAAAAGATTCATCGAATATCGCTTAAGATCGCGATCTTTCACTGGGTCCGAACAAAATGAGGAAGAGAAGGGGGAGATGAGAAGTCTTCGATCAAGTTTCTCTCACTCGCACCTTCAGGTTCCAGACAGTAGAAATGATTGCACAAGACGATCTGGACGAAAAAGTCGTGAAGAGATGCAAGACCAGGTAAATATCTTTTAATTTGCAGTATCGTACTTCAGTTTATTGTTTACAAGGGATAAGCAACGGTTTGATTAAATGCCGCGTCATTTGAACTCCAGCAATCTATGTCCCATTTCAGTTTATTAATGCATCTTCTATCGTTTTCTTCTTGGCGGAATTTATACTCAGAGCCTTCTTCAAGTTGAGGGTGTTTAACCTTCACAAGAAATGACTCTATTCGCTAATAAATATAAAAAACTGAACAGGGCAAACCATCTTACGTTTCACTGATAATTCCCCTGAGTAACTTTAACTTAAATTGTTTCCAAGGTAACCCCAAATGAAACTTAACATCGATCGGTTTAAGTTCTTGCAATGAATTATTTATTTTTCAATTATTTGCTCTTCTGCTGAGCGAATGGAATAAAATTCCAATTAACAGAAAACAATAAGAATGGAGAAGGATTCAAAGCTATTTACGATTTGACTCCATTGAAGAAAAGTAAGCAAGCATTTTAAATCTCGTGTCAACAAAGGAATGAGTCTCGAGAATCATTATGGCCCGAACAGGAAGTTTTCTTGTTCAAGCATGTTACATCTTTGGTAAGCAGTCGGGTTTACTTTGCTTTCATTTATGTCACTTTTACGCCTGTGCACATTGTTATCTTAATCCATGTGTTGACACGCTTTGCATGATGGGATACTTAGAATTCGCTTCCGCACTTGCTTAGTCGTCCAGGCGAGTAACCTCTACCCTGAGCTGTACTTCCTTCAATAGCTAACGATGCGTTTCGCCAAAATTTAACGACTTTAGGCCATAATTGTAATCCTAAAGGCAGTATATGGCGTTAATTTGTTTCCTCACACCAATTTTTTGTGCATGAAATAAAAGAATGATAATGTGCGTCATAAAAATGCATCCAGGTTGGAAATAGTGTCCAATACAGCAATAGCTTAGCCCTGTTTCCATCGTAGGTAAGCCCCCGTAAGGGTTTGTTCAAGTTTCCCTGACAATTTTCCGGTATTTTTACCTCTGAGGGACTGAGAGGCTGTTCGTATGCGGTCATAAAAAAAAGTCGGCCATAAAATCCACCACTCGTTAACGTGATTGCAAACTTGCCCGTACAAAATCCTTAAAATGAGACTCTAACTAAAAGCACTGCCAATCGCACAAGCTATTGTCGTCTACGTCATTTGTCTGCGAACTTACGGATTAGCGCGCGTCACGCCAGTTCGTCACACGTCACGCCAGCTCGATCTTCTTCTCAACTGGGGCTCTTTTAGGGAAAAGAATATCGCCCATTTTCTCGGAAACACACATTAGAGTCCAATGAGGTAACACATTTTGCCACTGCGTTTCATTATTAAGACTGAAAATCAATCCTAAAGACAGTACGATTTCAAGATCTCATAATCGAAGCAAATGGACTCCCTATTAAAGCAGTCCTTGATCGCAATTGCGAAGATTAGTTGTGAAGCAGTGCTCCTTAGTTGCCTTAGCTGTAAACAGCTGTTTTAAATTGCAGTAGAGTACTTTTAGATCGTGTGTCCTCAAACGAAAACCAGAAAAATAAAACTCACGGTTTAAAGGAACCACAAGGACTCTAAGTAGGCCTATACAACCCAGATGATGACTGGTATTCATCAGTTTTAGCTCTGCAAATGATTCGTGAAGAGTATGTCGCGAGTTTTCCAAAGCACAGAGCATTGTAAAGCAGAAACAAGGAATTTTGGACTAATCATGTGACCTTCAATTTTGAAATTCTTGTATAATTTTCGTTTATACGTTCGAGTCTGTTTTACTTCCGCAAACGTTGTCATTCAGTGGGGGGGGACTTACTTTAGAAACCTACATTGGGCCCTTGAATTCTAGTTCCTAGATATTTCTTGTAGTTTTTATTTTGTGTAATGTCTGATAGTTACTTCTTGTTCTTCGGGGTTAGAATGTGGAGAAAGTTACAGCTTCAGAAGAAGATTATCAGGCGTTAAAGAAGGTAAGAATATTTGAAATTTACTCTACGAATGTAAATTTTTTAATCGGTTCTTAGCAAGCGACTTTGGATCGTGTATCTTCATTAAAGCTCTCGCGAGATGAATGCATGCATAATACATTTGAGGATGACATTAGGCAAAAACCGCTTCTTTTTTATAACAAACCCTTCAAGTTCGATTCCTTTCTTAAGCGTGGCTGATAAATGATCACTTTGCAGTGCGTTGTGCCGTTAAGTACAAAGGGTATCTAAAATAAACCTTCTGGGAAATGAATCAAAGAAGGGTTCAGCCCTTGAGAATTTACTCAGACCAAAATCCTCAAAATTGAGCGTACTCTTGATTTTAGCATGATAACTGAAAATTTCGTCCCAGTCGCTTCTAATAAAGGCTACGTTGATAAGAGGTGAAAAAGGAGATCACATGTACAGCGACTACCTTTAAGTTGGCTTACTCGTCTCGACCTTTTCCTACAACCACAGGAAATGGAGAATTTGCGACAAGAGCGTGACAGTTTGAGGCGCGAATGTGACCGATTGCGGTGTGAGCGTGACGCAGTGCAGTTGGAACGTGACACTCTGTTGGGTGAAAAGAGTAATTTGCAAGCTGAGCTGAATAACAGGAATGACATCATACAGCATCTTCAGGATCACGTGGTGAGTAATGTCACTTGAGAAAGCTGAGTGTATATATCAAGCATGTTGCTAATCTCGTACCTAGATCCTACCTTGTAACTGTAACTGAAGGGAGCTAACAACCTCTTGGTCGTGAGAAGTCTGGGTACGAGACTTACATGGAGCTATAGCTTGGGTAATACTAGCAAAAATGTAGTGTTTTCTAGAACTCTAGAAACCTTGGTTGGTTAATTTTTTTTTAGTATTTTCTACGGACTTCATCCTTTAGTATCTAACTGCGCATCTTTAACCATTTAAACATTCAGGGTGGCAAGCATCTTATGTCTCTCTATGGCATCACTGCTGAATCAAACTTAAGGCTCATGGGAACTTGGAAAATGATCATTAACCTGAAAAAGCTCTCGATTTTTAAGTAACTTCTCCTTGTGAAGACCATGGGAAATGTAGATCGAAGAATATGGAGAATATGCGCATTGGTTTTTAGGGAATTAAATTCTGATACTTCTTGCGTGATCGTTGTTTGCACATGGAAACAAACTTTGACGCGTTCGATCGTTCAGTTTGAAGTTGTGTATAGACTTTACAAATTGGTCCTATAAAAGGGTATAGTTTTGTGTATTGTCCGCAAAAAAGGGCTTGGAGCAAGGAAATGTCGACAGGTTTTTAAGAACGTCTTTTCCACCCAGATTCAATTAATATTCAGAGGAAAGGGGGCAAGTTTCTAGAGAAACTTTGGTGTCATGTCGGTGAGGGTTATTACGAGATAATTTGGTGTTATCAACAGAGTTGATAATGTGAAATGGCTATCGTAAAGAGTTTCAAAGTTGGCGTTTCAAGCGTTAGCCTTGGGTATTCGCTCTGACAAAGGGCTTACGCTCGAAATGTTAGCTTTAGAAACTCTGTGCAGTGGCCACTTTTCATTATCAACTCAGATTACCCTTGTTTACCCCTCCCCTCCCCCTACTGACGCAGCACCACAGTTGTTTTAGAAACTTATCCCCTTTATTCATTTAAATTTCTGAAGAACAGTTTTGGGAGTAGATGATACCTGGTCATCCCATTTAAGTAGAGGAAGACGATACGTTTAGAAATGTAAAGTTACGAAACCGAAAGGAAATTGAAAAACGATGTACTCCTAGGGTCCGCTCTAGGCGAGGTCCTTCAACGGCATACAAAGCACATAACCTTTTTTAGGTTCTTTTTGGGTGACACAACCTGATTTCAAGTAAATGCACTCATGCGAGTCACTGAAATTTTCAAATCTGGGCCCAGTTCTATAAAGATCGGATAACGCTATCTAGAGGATAAATTGCTCCTCGACTGATGAGTGATAGCAAAACGTAGTGCGTCATTCACCGTATACAGTTTTATCCAGTGGGTACCGTTATCCAATCTTCGAACAATCGGGCCTTGATGACTTGTGACCTTTTCTTTTCAGTCAATGTCAGTTCATTCCCTGGTCGAGCCAGATGCTGCCAAATCGACCCCTAAAAGGCAAAGGTCAAAGTCCGAAGTGCGCCGTCCAGCATTCTACTTCCCTGAGGAGATGGCAAAGACAAACGCTTACACTTGTCTATAAAAAATGTTACAGCGCTGTAGTCTTTTAAATTATTGCTCAAGAGGCTATTATAATTTATCCTTTGGTGTTTGAATGCGCATCGTCAATATAGATAACTTCTCGCGCTTCTCGCGTGATCAGTGTTGACGCAATAAATAATAAAATGGTGACTCGCTGTTTAACACGTTTTTTTTCTTTTTCTTTGGCGTATACGTTTTCTTTCTTAAAGTGCATCATTCAAGCATTTTCTCCCTTGTCACTAACATGATGTTATCTGGAGGTTCAACTCAATGGGCTGGTTGTTACCTCGGGTAATCTCTGTAGGAAAGTTGATTTAATTCAATAAAGGTTATTTCCACGATTAGCTTTCGGTCCTCTTGACACTGTTACATAAATATAAATGTTCAGATAAAAATTTCGGCTAAATAAAACATAGATTAGAACGTGGTTTGGTTAAACAACAACTACGCCTTATTTAAATAAGTGCATCCCTCAGGTGTGCCGCCCTGCTGTCAGTTAGACGATTATCACTGAGGTATAACACCGCGAGTTTACAGTTGCCATGTTTAAGTGCATCAATTAGGTGTGCGGCCCCGACGTAAATCAGACGATTATTACTGTGGTATAACATGGCAAGTTTATAATTGCCATGTTTAAGTACATCACTCAAGTGTGCTGCTCCGCTGACAATCAGACGATTATTACTGAGGTATAACATAGCGAGATTTCAATTGCTATGTTTAAGTGCATCACTTAGATGTGCTGCTCCGCTGTCAATTAGACGATTATTACTGAGGTATAACAGGGTGAGTTTGCAGTTGCCATGTTTAAGTTCATCACTCAGGTGTGCAGCCCCGCTGTCAACTAGACGATTATTACTGAGGTATAATACTTTGAGTTTACAATTGTCATGTTTAAGTGCATCACTCAGGTGTGCAGTGCCGCTATCAATTAGACGGTTATTACTGAGGTATAACAGGGCGAGTTTACAATAGCCATCATTAAGTGCATCACTCAGGTGTGCAACCTTGCTGTCAATAAGACGATCATTACTTTTGAATAACGTGGTGAGTTTCCAATTGCCATGTTTAAGTGCATCACTCAGGTGTGTTGCTCCGCTGTCAATTAGACGATTATTATGAGGTATAATTGGCATTTTGAAGAGCACCACTCAGGTGTTTAACGCCTTTGTTTCCTCCATTGAGCACACAAAGTTTTCTACTCCTTTGTTTCCTAAATTGCTCTTAACAAGGTCTTGTATCGTGCGTTTACAGTTAACATCTTTAAGTGCATCACTCAGGTGTGCGAATCCCTTTTTCTCTATATTGTTCTCGGCAAGGTTCAATGATATCGTGACTTTACAGTTGCATCGCTCAAGTTTGCTACTCCTTCGTCTCCTACAACGTTCTAGATCAGGTGCCAGACTTCGAGTTTTACAGTTTACATCTTTATATGTATCGCGCAGATATTTTTTTTTTTTTTTAAATTACAAATACAATACTTACAATACAATATGAAACACCACTTACACTAATTACAATGCTTATTTACATTACTCTACTTACAGTCACTAATAATTACACTACTTACAGTATTCTATTTTAATTATACCATTACATGAGTACTATTTTCTTTTAACATTGCACAGTGACACATACCGGCGATGGCGACGCCCAGTTAATTCTCTAACAAAAATAAATTACAATAAACTAATAAACAGGGAAGAATATGAGATCTAAGTTTATGCATTGGTCTTCCATTCTTTTCCTTAAAAAAGGGCAAACACAAAATTATATGAGAAATTCCCATCTAATTTGAAAATCGCGAAGCTTTCTGTTTCTTATAGCAATAATTTTTTCAACTTGTTTTTTAACTTCAACCTTGTGCAAAAACAATCTACGCGATACGCGATACGACACGATTGTTTTTGTATCGCGCAGATATGCTGTTCCTTTATTTTCATTTTACACCTAATGAGAACCAAGCTCCTCTAGTTACAATCTCCTTCACCTTAAACAATCCACTTTTGAATCTCTTTACAACCCAGTTACCAAGGTCGTTTCCTTCCAACTGCAGATTCTTGTTAACGGGTGTCAGCCCGCAGGCAGTAAAAGTGGCTGCATCAAAATCAGTTTCTTCAATTCTGTTTGCTATAACAGATTGATGCTTTAAATTTAGCTCCTACAAACACTTGCTCAAGGTCATGGCTACTTCTTTGTCTTCATCGTAAACTTGCCAACAAGTCAATGTTGAAGCTTGGTAAAAACATCGATGCTACGCATTTCTTGAGCCTCACCGGGGCTCCGGCCACACATTGAATCACCAGTTTTCAAGCGCTTTGGTGTATATGATCAGCAAAAATTCCTGCAATTCTTGGGTTTCCTTCATGGTATCGATCACATGCTTAGCAACGAGAAATTCTTGAACAGTAAGGAGCATGAAACAGAATTGAGTTTCACTTAGGTCAAGAGGGGCTGGGCCAGCTAGGTCAGGTAAACGATGGAGCAATCCACAGTCTTCTAGTCCTTCGACTTCTTGTGTCGTTAAGATTAATTCACTTCTACGTTTGTGAAAAATATTGCTTGTAGGTTTGACGTAACGAGGCTTTTGCCGGCAAGAATTAGCTGCATACTTTTAGCCAATCAGATATGACACCGAAAAACCGATAACTGATAGTTGTACTTCAAGGGAAGTGGCTTAGTATTCAAGGTAGCGGGAAATTTGAGTTTATGAAGCAGAAAACACACAAAAATTAAAACTTTCAACAATCGTTTCCTTTATTTCCTTTTTCAGCTAGAAGTAAGCGAAATACACTGACCAAAAAGTTTGCACTAAGGAACCGTTTTAGGCTGAAATGTTATGCACAACTTTTGTAGAAGGCATTCCATAGACGTGCGAGTTGTTCTTCGCGTATATTGTTTCCTTCGACATTATACTCAGTGAGTGTGCGATTCTCATTTTTAGATGCTTCAAGTAGCTTTTCTGCTCCCTCATCTCCTATGTTGTTGGCAGAAAGATTCAGTTCAATGAGTTTACAATTCACATTTTTAAGTGCTTCACTTATGTATGCTGCTCCTTGGTCCTTTATATTGTTTCTTTCAAGGATCAACACGGTGAGTTTACAGTTTTTTCCTTTAAGGGCATCAGTCAGGTGCTCTGCACCCTTATCTCCAATTCCATTAGCCTTAAGGTTCAACTCAGTGAGTTTGCATTCTACCGATTGAAGTGCATCAGCTAGGTGTGCCGCTCCTCTTTCTCCTACATTGTTAAAAGCAAGGTCTAACTTAATTAGCTCACATGACACATTTTTAAGTGTATCAGCCAAATATGCTGCCCCATACTCTCCAACATTGTTCCTACCAAGGTCCAACACGGTGAGTTTACAATTTCCATCTTTTAGTGCATCGCAAAGGTGTTGTGCCCCATCGAGTCCTATGCTGTTACCACTAAGGCCCAACACAGTTAGTTTACAATTTGCAACTTTAAGTGCTCTACTTAGGTGACCTACTCCATTGTCCCCTAAATCGTTACCTGCAAATTCCAATTCAGTTAGTTTACAATTTACATCTTCTAATGCATGAGAAACATATGTTGCCCCTGTGATTTTGGCTTTGTTACAGGGAAGGCGCAACACGGTCAGTTTACAATTTACATCTTCAAGTGCATCTCTCAGACTAAACAATCCCTTGTTTCTGATTTTGCAATCGCCAATGTCTAGCAGAGTCAGTCTACAATTTTCGTCTCTAAGAGCATCACTTAGGAGTGCTGCTCCGTTGTCTCTTATATCGTTACCATAAAGGTGCAACTCCGTGAGTTTACAATGTTCATTTTTAAGTGCAATAGCTAAATATTTAGCTCCTTTGTCTCCGATGTTGTTACCTTTAAGATCCAGCGTGGTTAGTTTACAGCTATTTTCTTTCAGTGCATCACATATTGTTTTTGCTCCTTTTTCATCTATTCTGTTATAAGAGAGTTGTAACTTTGTTAGTGTACAATTTTGGTGTTTAAGTGCGTTACCCAGTTGTTGCGCTCCCTTACACCCTATTTCGTTGCGAGACAAATTCAAACTACCTAACTTGAATCCACACTTACTGCGAACACTTTGATCAACCCACTTTTGAATCTCCATACAACCCAACCAACTTATTTCATTACGTTCTAATGTTAAAAAGATTGTTCCAGCGTTTTTAAGGAAATGCACTAAAGCTGCACAGTCAACAGGTGCTAAATTACAACCACTAAAATCCACTGCATTAAAACCAATTTCTTCAATTTTGCTTGTCACAGCAGATTGCTGCTCTAATTCGAGATCATACAAACAGTTGCATATGCGCAAGGCTAAATCTTTGTCTCCATCAGTTGGCCAACAGATCAATGTAGTTGGCTCTTCAACTGCATAGTTCCAAGCAACACTCATGAGTTCCTTTTCATTCGTCTTACTTGTGGCCATGGGAAGAAGTTCTGTAAACATTTTCACCGCTGACATTTCTCCAGCAGCATCGGGGTCTAACAGTCCAGCCACAAACTGCATCACTACTTGCCAAGCACTTTGGTTGATTTTATCTGAAACAAATTTCCGCAATTCTTCAGTTTTCTTCATGGTATCTACCACATGCTTAGCGGCAAGAAATTCTTGTACTGTTAGGTGCAGGAAACAGAACTGAGCTTCACCTGCGTCAAGAGGAGTTGGGCTATTCAGGTCAGGTAGACGATGGAGCAATCCACAGTCTTCTATTCCTTCAACTTCTTTTGCTGTAAAGGTCAGTCTGCCCTCTTCAAGTCCGAGAAGGGCGATCTTTCCCAATTTATTAAAAACACTCTGAACTTGGGAGGGCAATTCGCAGTATCTTGTTAAAATAAACTGATCATTGGAGTCCTTAGACTGGCGATATTCATCATTGTGTCTAAAGAAGAAAATCTTTAGGGCCAAACTATATATCTTGGTCAGCTTAGTGGGTAAATTGCAACCATTAGAATGCAGTTGTGACAAGCAGGAACAAATGATGAAGCAATGGACAGGAATATAGCAAAAGGTGAAGAGATTGATATTTGTACGAAGGTGTTGCCATATTGAAACGTGATCGTTACTTCCCTCGGTAAACTTCTTCACATAATTTGCAACTTCTTCAGAGGAAAATCCAAGAATTTCAACAATTTTATCGAAATTCAGCTGTCTTACACA